GTATCACCTTAACTTTACCACCCAGAAAGATGCATGTCAACTCAGATCTTAGCTAGGAAAAGCAACCAACGTCTATGTTTTCCATGCCTTTCTCAGAATAGAACTGGCCCTTGTTTTCTAATTGTATTCTGCCCTTTGAATTTGGCCATGCTGAAGCTTTGTGGTCACAAGAATTACTATAACTACACAGCAAATAACCCCTCCCCACCAAAGTCTTGTGTACTCAGAGGCAGGGCTTTGGGAGGGGATTGGATTATGGGGGCACTGTGCTCACCAGATTCACGCACTGGTGAGCTCAGCAACTGAGCCGCTGCCAGGAAGCAAGGCCTGGTGGGAAGGGGCAAGGCACTGGGGGCGTGACTACAAAAGGGTGCATCTGTCCTCCTGGATCCTGCCTCCTTGATTCCTCACCATCATGATATGAGCAACTTTCCTCCACCGAACCTTCTCACCATGTCCTCCCTGCCTGGGAACCAAGTGACTGTGGAATGAGACCGTTGAAAAACGTAAGCCAAAATAATCTGTCCTCCATTAAATCATGTGTGCCAGGAATTGTGTCCTAGATCGAGAAAATGAATAGGAAAACGTATTAGAAACTGCCTACTTCCAAACAAACAACCTTAACTTTATGTTCAGATATATATAAAAATACAAGATGTGTCTTATATCTTATACTAGGTATATCTTAAGGTTAGCATAGTTACCAAACATCTTAGCCTGAAAGAATTATTTCACTGCCTTCATCTGCTTTCTGAGTTAATTAAAACTCTTAAAACCACAATGTCTCTAAAGACTATCTAGAAAACATAGTTATATATTTGTAAAGATGGAATAACATTTCTTTTCTGCCTCTTATAAATAAAGGATTTATCATTATGAGTTTTCTGTGTACTACTGTGCCAATAATAGGGAGAAGAGAGAAGAGTAATGGCAATGATAATGGTAAACACTTCTAGAGTTCTCAAAATGGACCAAGCACTGTAAAAGATGTGGTATTGTATACAATGGAATACTGCTCAGCTATAAAGAAAGATGAACTTGAGGCTTTTATAGGTAAATGGATGCAACTTGAGGCCATACTCATAAGTGAAAGAAATCAGACTTGCATGTGTAAACATCATATTGTCTCTCTAGCATAAAAAACTGAGAGAGTAAATAATATCCAAAATGTACAATAGTCACTGTGAAAGTGAAAAAGGAAGGAACTGCTCAAAGGGAATAGCAACTGGGATGAAGGAAAGGATAAAAGAAAGGGAGAGGGAGAGTAGACAGGCAGATAGGTGATAGATAATTGTGCTGCTAATCTCTGTTCATCAAAAAGAGCAGTTAGTGCTTTCATTATTTGATCATTTTTTCATGCCTATATCTTGTATTCTGAGCAACTGCTTTGATGCAATATGCATCAAATATGCAATATATTAACCATTGTTAATCTATTATTCTGTTTTGAAATTTTGTATCATCATTTTTATTCTTTTTTGTTTTAAAATTAAAAATTAAAATAGACATTTTCAACATGTACAATCTCAGTCTTTAAAACACCCCTACAGGAGAAAATATTATTATTATGGTGATTTTAATGAAGTAAATAAGGCATATGTCTGTGTCACAGGGTAGCAAGGATTCAAATGCACAGCTTTCTAGTTCCACCACCCAAGCTCTTTCTGCTATGCACTTGAGCACAGACATAGGACTATTAGTCATAGCTTTGACTAAAAACAAAAAATACATAGCACAAATGTGCATAAGTATGAAATATACATCTAACCTATGTAAATATTTCAGAATCAAGACATTTTTGCACTTCTCTGGTGTATATATACATATTTGTAAATTAAAACATAATTGAGCATACCACTTTTGGTAAATTACAAAACACTCAAACCTACATCAATTTAGCCTCTATTCCACCATGAGGAGGAAGGCTGCTTGTGCATTCTTATTCTGGCAATTAAGGACAAGTGTGTTTTCTAAAGCGAAGGTTATTTTGACTTTGGTAAGTACATTGCTTACTGTCTGATCATAAAAGAACAGAGATGGGAATGAACAACAAAATACTTTGTCCTTCACTTCAGGCATGAGGCTTGACCTCCCTGGTTGTAAATTTCCTAGTCTTAGAAGGCCTCAGTGTCAACAGCCAAATGATGCACAATAAACACGACAATACATTATGTGTCCCTTCTGGATGGTGCCAAGTCCAGGAAGGAAACAGTCTACTTTTCAATGGATTTTCTGAAACAATACACAGACAGTACATTGAAGAGATCTGAGGAGGAAAGCTAAAGCATCTTTTCATCCCACAATCTGCAAATTATCCTTTGAAAATGACAATCTGGAGTAATATGAACCATGCACAACCAGCATTGGACAGATACTGGGAAGAGCACAGTATGCAGGCTTTTCATCTGACTAGGAAAAAGGACACAGCGTATTCTGAACAGGAAGGGTTAAAAGATAATGGATGAAAGCCAAAAGAACAAGCCACTTACGTCCTTCAACAAAGAAGAAACAAAGGGATTGGGCTTGTGAAATAATGTGCAGGCCTAAAATTAATGTTTCAACAATTTTTAATTGTTCCATTTTTACAGAACTTGCTTCACAATTAAAAGAGAAATGCTATTTTTAGGCCTCAATTTATGAAATGGTACTTTCCGGACACCAAGGAAAAGAGAAGTTATCAAAAGAGAATGGTGCAGAGCGGCTGTGGCAAGTCTGCAGCATAAGAGCCACAACAGGCACAGAGAGCCCTCTCGGCCACAGTGAGAACCATGTTACCTCAACACCACCCAGCAGCCAAGCGTTCAGGTTTAACTGCAGTATTGAGACTTCAGTAAGTGGGGTAGGGGCTGCAGTGTGGGCATTTGGTTTCTAAAAGGTTCACCATCACCAACACAGAAGCTGTGTGAGGCTTCATGTGTGATCTTTGCTTCCCTATGTGCATCCAAATCAGAGACTCCTAGTGCTGGCCAGAGCCTCAGATGTCACTGGGTCCCACTCTGAGCTTTCAGAGACGACAGACTTAAAGCTGTTAGGTAACTCACCCAAGGTCGTGTTTGGCACTGTACTCTCTGTGACTAAGAACAAATGGACAAAAGTAAAGGAGATAATGTGCTAAATAACCTGGCCCTGCTCCACCCAAAAAAGGATTGGGGGTATAATTCAGTAACAGCACAGTTGCCTAGCACAGGAAGGATATGAGTTTAGACCCAGGCACGGCAAAATAAATATATGCATCATACACACATACCCACACATACTCAAAGACTTCCGATTAAAAATGGTGTTAATTATAGCTACTAAATCCATTTACCTATGAAATCTAACATACTTAAAGTTTTAAAACACAAAAGTTAATTTTTAAAAATCAGATAATATGCCAGATGTACTTTATTCAGTATAAATCTTGGATTCCTGCTCAGCTCTTCTTTCCAGAAAAGTTACCAAAAAAAAATTCCTGGAGATCTTTGTAGTGAGCAAAACAGTCAAATGTTTGAGCACCTCTTTCATTGGAATCTCATATCAAGTTTCTGAGTACAAAAGCAACCACTCATCAGTCAACTAAATTCTCACTGGTAATCCAGATGTGCAGAGCTTGCAGTAGGGAAATATGACTATTTTCCAACTTCACTGTACTCTACCCTCTCATCCCAAGAATTCAGAAATGACCATAAGTTTTGTAAAAGGAAGTAGAACTAAAAATCCCTAAGTTGTTTGGCTTCTCCTACTCCTAGAACCTGGGCCACATCTGAAAGTCCCAAGGGATGTCTGTCTACCTCTGGAGATTTACTCCAGTTCACAAGAGGGCTTCCCAAGATTCTGGCCATCTGGAAGGCCCCTTGGAAGATGAATGAGCGTCAGTCAGGCCAGGAGGCATGCATGTTCTCTCCAAACTTAGACCTTTAGCCAGAAAACACTAAAATATCCATTTGGAATGGTTAAAAAGTAGAATTCAGGCCCAAGATTCCCCATATCCCTCACCCCACCATCACAACTTATCACAAAATCAGAGTTCAAGAGTGCAGTTTCTTTTTTTGCCAAGGCTAAGCTCACTATGATCCGTTACAAAGAAAATTGTGGTTATTAATTATTATGAGATAATTCTAACCATCATCATAGTAAGCACCATATTCATTCATATTTTCTAAAGCTAAAGTGTGAAGTTACAGTCAACACAGAAACTGTTCGTATCTCCTATTTACCATCAGATCTCAACAGAATCCTACCATGCAACCAGGACTCCCACTGTGGGTAAAGTAATGTTTTCTTCTTTTCCTCTCTTCCTATCTTGATAGTTTAAAAAATATAAAATATGGGGAGAACACAGCAGGAACAGTGACATTCACTGAACAACACGAGGTAGCACTCCTCCTAAGCTTCCTTAGTGCCGGCGGGTGTGGTTAGTCTGTCAGGTCTGGAAAAGCCTGATGTTTGTTAGCACCAGCAGCTGGAACACATCGCTGTCTCTTCTGGAGTTTCTCGATGTGAACAACAGGAAGAGTTTCAAGCAGTGAGCCAGCCGTCACCCTGGTTCTCATGTGTGTGAAAATGCCATTTCCCTGCTAATCTACTTTGAGGCATTCAACAGGCACAAGGGGCTGCTATAGGTTGGATCAGAAATGTTCCCCAAAGTCCTGAGTGCTGGTCTCTAACCTTGGTGCCATTGCGAGGTGGTGGAATCTGGAGGAAATGGGCCATGCTGAAGGAATCTGGGTTGTGAGGGAATGCTCTTGCAAGGGATATCTGATACACTGATTCAAAAGAACTTTCTTCCTTCTAAGTTTATTACCTCAACTGCGTATACACAGACAGGAAGCTGAGGAGTGCAGAGGCCCAGTTATGTATACAGCACTACCATAACAGACTGTAAGAGAACGTAAGAATGAATGAGGTTCATCCCTGCCCTTAAGAAGCTCACAATCTAGAGTGTTATTATAGACAAAGGCACATATAAGTAGATACAAAGGATAAACCAAAACCTAAATGAATGCACAAAGGGCAAGAACAAAATGGAATTACTTTTCTTTTACAAAATTTTTAGATTCATGTTACTATTTTTTATAATGGGGCAAACATTCCAACTCACATTTCTGTTACTCGGAAGTTCTGAAGCTTCTCTTTGTGACTGTGCCTCAAGCGGCTGCCTAACGAGCAGGAAAGTGGGAGTAGGAAGGGAGGCACTTTTTGTCCCTCAGATTGTTTAGAATTGTGGACTTGGGATAATGAAAGAGACCATATGTAAGTTGAGTCTGTCACTTTCAATTTGCGTGGAGAATGTATCTCATATTTCCTGCATCTTAGAAAAGCCCCTAACTCTAACTCAGGCCAGCCTTCCCACAACGTGGTTTTGAGGGACACATTCTCCCAGTAGGCCCCCTGGGGCCCAGCCACTTGCTTGCAGCAGATGCTTCAGAGCTGATTCTGATGAATATGGTGGGTGATCCAGCCAAGTAACACTGCTGTAAGACAGAGAAAAGCATGGCTCTTCCATACGATTGTGATTGTTATATGCTATCCTGAAAGCAATTTCAGCAGAATAATCCCTAAGATCTTTCGGTAAAGGGAAATTGTCAGAATATGTGTGCAATTTTCTACTTTTATCTAGGCAGACCACAAACAACTGTAACATCTCAGTGGTATAATACAACACACGTGTATTTTTAACCCGATGCACAGAGGGATCTTACTTCTTGCAGTATTTCCTAGATCTGGGCTGATACGAGCCCCCCTCTAACATGTGCTTCCTTGGCAGCAGGGGCAGTGAAAGTGAAGCCTTTTGAAGGTTCCTCTTGGAAGTGACACACTTCACTTCTACCCACATTTCATTAGACAAAGTAAGTCCCGGAGCACATCCAACTTCCTGGGGATAGAAAGGGGGAACAGGAAGGCTAGAATATTCATGAGACACCTATTGCTTCCAAAATGACATGTGTGTTAGGGTTTTCTGGCACAGTAGAGAAGCAAAAAGTAAAAAAAGAAAAGAGAGGGAAAGGAGCACATGACTGTGGCGGGTGGGCTACCTCCTTTGCCAGGGACAAACATGGCGGGAGGTTTCATGACCTCTGATCAGAGGTGGTGCTTGGGGTGGGCATTGATGACGTGTGAGGAACTGATTGGAATTTTCTTCCCCTGCAAACAAAGAAAGGGAGTTGCAATTAGGGCTGAAGAAGAAGCAGGAAGTGGTAAGTGTTCCCACTTTGGCCTTCCACCAAGTTAGACCACCACCATAATTGTACAGTAATTTATACCAGGGCAAGACCTTTTCAGTATGATCATTCTTTAAAGGGCATGAGGATCACTACCCCTTTGAATCTTGGAAATTTGGTCCTTAGTAACCCATCTTCATTTCCATGGCCATGTCCACAAGCTGGCCACAGCACAGCCCAGGAAGACATTGTTGTGCTGGCAGTTACCTGTGAGATGTTTGCAGGCTTAAGAGAGGCATCTGTAAGGCTGGCAGGAGACACAGGGCAGCCTGAAATCAGTGGAGAAGAAGCAGACACTGCGGACAGACACGCATGCCTCAAGTACTGTGTGGCACACTCTATATACATGGTACGTCACTCTTAGTAGCCACACAAGGGAGGCATTGCTATCTTCATTTAAAAATGAGAAAGAAACAAACAAAAGTAAGAGAAACAAAGACTTAGGCAGCTTGAAACACATTGTACTGACCAGTGTCATGCTGGAATCAACCTAAGAGCTACCTACTTTCAAACCCAAAGGATCAGCCATATAAGGAAATTCAGCCCATATAAATCACCTCATCACTCCACCTACACCCTTCTTATAGTCCATCCAAGTAAAAATTAATTTTTTAAGTGAGAATATGTGAAGCTAGGTAAGGACAGGAACTTAGCTTTATTTATCTTGGACGAAGCATCTGTGACTCCCAAATACTCCTGCACTGAGTAGATGCCCAAGAAGACACGAGTTTTAAGTCTGCATTGAAAGTCCAGGCTATTCCCCAATGTCATATCCTCTTTCCATCTTGCACAGTGCATCCATGAAAGGAAACTGGTAAGAAGAAATGTTTCCTTAGCAAGTCTCAGGAAAGGCAAAACTGTGAACATCTTCTCCAATCAAGAGTATTTTCTAAGTGATAAACTCAAGAGCAGCTTCCACAATGCAGGCCTGGGCACGAAGACAGTGGTGAGAAGGGTGTCTCCAACCACCTGTCACGTTTGTATTTCCAACGAGCCCTTGGCAGGACCATGCCCGACTGCCAGGAAAACAGAAAGAGCCTCATTTTGCTGGGAGACAATGCCACTGCACAGTTCTGTGATTCACTTCATCCCAGAGACAACTCCACAAGGTCTCCTAAATGTATCACTCTACCAGGATTCTTCCTCTTTTCTCTATTTTTAGCCAGTGTCTGTTATTTGATGTATCACAAGTAACTCTACACACCCACAGCATCTACCTTAAAAGCCTGCATTCATTCTGAGTCTCCTTTCAAACCACGGTTCAGGACACTTAGGTCGAACGTGGTGCTGCTTCTCCAGAGGTGCCAGAGTTTTTCTCCCATGATGAGGAACTGCTGCTGTCACTGTTCCTTCCCTGAATTGCCTCTCAGTCTCTTTTAAAAACACATAAGCTAGCCTTTCCATTGGGCATTTCATCAGAAAAGAATGAGGCATAAAGGAAGACAAAATGGTCTGCAATCGCTTATCTTGAGGAGCTCATTCCCGTCATCAGCACCCAAACCGTGCTGAAGTGCGGTTTCAGTTTCTCTTTTCAGCCATGAGGAAAGCAATGTTGACAACACACATTTCTCCCTGTCAAAACATTTCACTTACTTGGCAATCTGTAGACAGTTTAGGAGTCGTATCTCCAAGCAGCAGTGTGGGAACACTCTTCCCATTATTTTAAAATCAAAATGGCACATGCCTTGTGAGAGGGGCACCAGACAGGCCAAGATCCAAACTGAAAAGAAAAATGTCAACAGAGTCAGGGAGCAAAGAGGGCACTGTAAATAACCAGGCTCATTACCGAGAAATAGAGAAAGAGGGCCGGCCTGCCCTCTATTCCATCCTGTGGCCTGGTCCCACTGCCCTGGGATCTCAGTCACCCAGGGGATCACCTAGGGGATCTGTGAGCTGTGTGTTTCATTGAATACCAAGCTGCAACTCACATTTGGGAAGCATCAAATATATACCACAATGAATGAAATGATTTTTGGGAGGGGAGAGAGCTGAAAGTAGGGAGAGAAAAGAGTAGCATGATCATTGCATCCAGCAAGGCATGGTACTGCATATCTGCAATCCCAGCATTAGGAGGCTGAGGCAGGAGTATCATAAGTTCAAACCCAGCCTGGGAAAACCATCTCAATAAAAGGTTGAGGACATATCTTGGTGTGGAGGTCCTGGGCTCAATTCTCAGGACCACAAAAAACAAAACAAAACAAAAAAGGAATTGTATCTGTCTTGGTTACTTTTTTTTTCTCATTGCTGAAACAAAATACATGATGCTCAAAGTGAAGCAAGGAAAGGTTTATTTAGCTTACAATTTTTGGAAGTTTCAGTCCATATTCCGCTGGCTCCAAGGCAGGGTGCCATGGCCGAGGGGCAGCCCTCCATCACAGCTGCAAACAAAAAGAACAAACAGGGCAAAAAAAGGGAAAGTATGCCTCCTTCCTGCCCTTATGATGCAGCACCCACATCACCCATCCCAGTGCTAGGGAACAAACAAACCAATCACAAATGATAGATTCAACTATGTCCATGACTGCATGAGGCTTGGGGGCACCATCCAAACATAAACCATAGCAGCATCCAATTGCCTATGAAAGAATGGCTTGGTGTGTGAGCCTTACAAAGGACAGCAGAACAATGACTAGATACATACTGACAAGATTGCTCGTGCTCCCACTGAAAGATATTGACTGTGCTGTTATTATCTCAAAATGGCTCATTTTCAGTGAAAAACTAGTAGAAAGAAATAATGCTTAAGGACACAGAAATGGGTTATCCCTTAAAGCCATGGAGCACAAGACAGATACTGTAAGCATCAGTAGAGGCCATGGCATTTGTGGAAAGGGGACAGCCAAGCATGGCTGCAAGGAGCATTGCAAGGCTGGAGAACGCTCCTCGGTGCAGGGCGCAGACTCATGAATATTACTGTTGGAGTTCAGGGGCGACATGCACCAGAAACCCAGCAAATGCCAACATCAAAATGCACACACCCCCATCAACCATGCACCTGACATGCCACTCACTGTATCACCCAGGCTCTGGGGTAGAGGCAGCTCCCCAGTTACCTCTGATGGCTGGGTTAGTGCAACTGTCCCAGCCTCCTCCGTTCACCCCCAGCCTGTCCAGCATCTTTGCCACATTTTACTAATCTTATTTCATCCATGTATGAAAGGTTAGCTGGACCATGTGTTGACTTGACAGGAGTAGCACTTTTGCTAGAATCCCAGATAATATTAGTTCAGCTGGGCTTCCCAGGAAATGTACAGCTTATCTTCCTTTAAAAATTGGATTGGTGTTTCAAGTTGCCACAGCTGTTATCACTTAAATAGAGATCACTGTATAATTTCAAAATATCTTATTCACTCTAAAATTAACCTGAAGCTTCAAACTGTCCACAAGTCTGAAATGTGCCTCTGGCTCCTGTCTCTCATCCGGATGGGTTCAGCAGATGGGTCCTGTCACATCATGCAGCTATGCCCCTGCCCTGCATCACACTTCACTGTGCCAGCTGCCTTCATCCCCTTCTTCTGATGCAAACAGGTACAAGCTCGGACAGGGATGGTGAACCTTTCAGAGCTCTCACCGAGACAAACAGCCCACTGTGACATGCATGCCAGAGGTTGGCCATGACTGACCTGGAGCACACTTTGCTATTTTTCTTGTTCATTCTCTCATAAAGACAAACAACTGAGTAGTGACCCATTAGTGAGGAGCCACTCAGAGTCCATTCTTATAGTTGGAGGTAATTTTCACTTTTAACAGCTAAGGTCAGGCTATGGTGGAAAAGCACAGAAAAAGGAGATGTTAGCAACTCTATGAAAATTAATAAATATTTTATGAAAGAAAACCTCTTTACTCCCCCTACATTACAACCCTAAGAAGCGATTTAATTTTTAATCCCTAATATTCAAGTAAAACTGGCAAGGGTGCCATTCTCAACATGGTTCAAGTTGTCCTGTCCTGGCCACAGTATCCTGGGGTAAAGATAAGGGCCAAGTCACAGCCACAACCTGGACCTTCTTTGCTTCTCAGTACCAGAGAGCTGAGTTATAGCAGGAAACTGAGGACACCTGAGAATGGAAGAGGTAAGCCCCCAGGGACAAGCCCGCTCTCACCCCAGTGGGCGACCTGAATCTCCAAGGAAGCCAGACGCAGTGTCACAGAGAAGTCGTCGAGGAAGGGCTCCCATCACCAGGCTGGGGCCACGGGAGTCACGGTAACTTTGTTTCTCATTGCTTCTGACTGTCCTAGAACAAAACAAACCGTCTCTAGAATGAGTATCCTACAGTCCTCTGGTTTCCTCCGATTCTACTTAACATGTTCAAATCAAATCACAGGAGAAAAGTCACAAGTAACGAGAACAGCAGATAGAGAGAGGCTACATAGGTCTGGAGCTAAGACAGGGTTGATGGCCTATTTTAAAGACTCAAATTTCTTGATTACAGAATGAAGAAGACCTCCACATATGCCAATGAACTGACTAAAAAACTGTCAAATTTTTGTTTCAGAGAACAAACTGAAGATATGTAAACCAGCTCAGTAAAGCTACGCAGTGATCCCAGCCTGAGAGCACCTGGTTTGTACCTCTCGGTATCCCAAAATCACCTCAGCATGCCTCGCTGCCCCCTTTTAGTTTATCTGGATGACAATCAGTGACAGCCACATTGTTTTCCTCTTAGCATATCTTGCAGTCAGCTTCCCAGCTACTGACCACAGCTGTAATTCTCAGCTGTACCAGTCCATCTAGGTAATGCTCCTTGGCTTTCTAACTCGACCGTGAAGAGGACAGACTCAGTTCTGATCAGTGTCCTAGATGTCCAGAGGTCTTGTACCAGTGCCTATTAAAGGACCAAGAAGTCAACAGATGACTCTAAACACAAGCATTTGCTACATGAAGATAGCAAGTCAAATTTACTCCTTTCTTTACTACTCATTCTGACAGTCATCTACGGACTCCTTGACTCACTGGGAAAGGACCTAGGTCAGTGGTGGGGAACCTCTCAAAGCTTTCAGCAACAGACAGCCCCTGAAGCATGTGTGCCATAGGCTCACCACCACTGACCTAGGTCAGCCTTTGTGAACAAAAAGCACACTTTACAAGATGGTCGGTGTCAAAACCAGTAATACCCTTCCTCCCAAATCGCCTGAAGATGACACGGCACGATGCCCATAAGAGACCCACACAGAGGTAATGTGACAGTGGAAGCCACTGACAAAGAGAAGCCATGAAGTGGAGGCCATTAGAAGAGAATGACAGCAGCCAGTCAGCTCAGAAGCGTAGGTCACCATACACGGCAGGGAGCGGGGACCTAAAGGCAAAACGCAAGTGGGCTCACCTGGTTTTGTTCCATTCTCTTCCAGGACTTACCGAAAGCCAGGTTTTGTTCCCTCTTTATGGCTTATTTCGTACCTAACTCAGGGACACACACTACCTTCAGAATAATAACAACATAACCATCTCTCATAGTGCTGGTAAACTCTTTGGGGATTGCCCCACAGCCTGAATCAGAGCTCCTTGAATGTCAATAAAGCAAAATAAAACTTTGACCTCTGAGGAAAGGTTTGATTTTGAAGAATGGATAAAACATCAGTTCAGAGTAAAATCTGTGGAAGAAGACAGAGGCTCTAAGTAAAGAATTCATAACAAAATAAAGCAATGATCCAAAGGTCGTGATTCAGTGAAGGCCATGACAGCGAACAGTTTTGGCTTTAAGAGCACGTGGTCTTTGCCAAAACTCCACATCTCTGCTCTTGCAGCATGGAGTCAGCCATACAGGCATAAATAAACGTGGTTTATAAATACCGAAACATTTGTACTGAAATATAATGAAATAAACATTGTTTATGAATACTGAGATTTGAATTTCATATAATTCTCATGTGCCACAACATGTTATTGTTGCTATTTTAATTCTTCAACCACTTATAAGTGTAAAAATATAAAAGTCATTCTTAGTTCTGGGGCCATACAAAATAAGTATGAGTCAAGCCACAAATTGTATTTTGCTAAGTCCTGAAGTGACAATTAGTGTACCTGTTTGTGCACATGCACAAGTAAATATGTCCAATCGACTCTGCAGACAACTCCAGAGAAGTTCTAGCTGTTTTGAGGAGCCATCTCACTGGAGAGAGATGACGGCCTTCCAAGGTGATCATACCGAAGTACAAAAATTATTACAATGCGCAGGTTCCTGGGGGCAGAAACTGTGTCATGCAGTTTAGTCTTTCTCACTTGCCTTACAAATAGTCCACATTCAATTTATTTTTTGTCAATTGGATGCATTTTAATGAATTTGTTAAAAGCCATCTCATTACATGATAGTCATCCCTTGAATACTAACTAATGATTCAAGGATTCCTAAACAATTTAAATCAATATGCTTTTAACAGAGTATTAAAATATTATCCATCATTAACATTTGATTTGTTCCTTAACAATTTCAATCTGGAACATTATAATCTGGGTTTTTTTTAAAGCATCTTCATAAAATTTCTAGAAAACTAAAGACCTTTATTCTGTTCCCTACCATATTATTAAGCCCAGTTGACAATGCAAACACACATTCAAACTTCAGGTATCCAGTCACACTACAATGCTGGATAGTTGAGAGGAAGTTAGAAATTTAATTGGCTCTTGACACCTACACTCTTCTTGCACATTTCAAATGTGGCCCTTTCTCATAGAGCTACGGATCACGTCAGGAGGACAGAGGGCATCTGCAGTGATCAGATTCCGCGCAGAACACAGGAGGAATCCGGACCACTGCATGAGCCCTAGGCATAGCACGCTGCATCCACCGTTGTTTCCTATAGTCAAGTCTCCAATAGCAGCCAGAATAAACTCTGCAGAGCTCACATCAGAACACATCAGTCCCCTTATCAAAATCCTCCAGTGACACCTTATTACTTCCAGAATTAAACTTCAAACATGTCAGTGAAGTGAGCTAGGTTCTTCTGCATATCCTGATAAGTTCTCCCAAAGCCCTGTATCAATGAGCCCTCTGGTTGGTTTGGCCAACAAGAGGTACCCATGAGAGCTCCAGAGGGAAATCAAAGTATTCTTTTCCCCTGGCCGCTTCTCATCTGGGTCACTGTGGTTGATTCCTTGAGGATTTCCCTTCATTGGTCCTGGGATACTGAAGTAGCGCCCTGCCTACACCAAAACCCTCCAAATTGCCCAGTTTAAGTAAACCTGTGCCTTTGGTTTCCTGCCAGAAGTCTTTGCAGTAAATGTGGGCTATAAAACCCTTCTAAATGATCGTATCTGCCATGGGGAAACTACAGAGAGGCCAAGTGGAAGAAAAATAGCAAGCTTAGGCTGGAAACTTAAAGTAGTCTCTTAAGAGTAGTAGGTTATTTTAATTACTAATGATTTCGTTTTCAATGAATAAGTACATATCAGTTATTGAAAAAAACAATAGTATGCCTCAGTAAGGATTCCAGAAATTTGGGGACAAAGATAACTGAATAAGGAATCAGTGACATAACATTTCCCCTTGAGAAGCACAGGGGCTGGAGGTTTAGCTCAGTGGCATAAGCACCTGCCTTGCAAGCAGGTGGTTGTGAGTTCAATCCCCGATACCGATAAAGAAAAAGACAAAAAAAAAAAAAAAAAAAACAGCGGGGTGCACAGAAGCAATACTTTGTCTTATCCAGATATGATCAGAATCAAAGTGCAGACATTTCTATACTGAACTGAGCCAACAGACTGTAGGTTCACTCAGTGGGCAAAGTGACAGACAACCACAGCCTTAACACAAATTCTATACCACGTGGACTGAGACGCTAGACTATGAAGAATATGTCCATCAATCTGTTTACCATGCAATGGTCATCTAGGCCCTCCATGCCCAGGGGCCTCGTATTTACTAAAAATGAGCTAGCTGCTTGTATTTATTATCTAACTCCTTGTTCATGTGTCATACCTCCGATTCTCTAGTACCCTTAGGAATCATCTCTCTCCCCATATGCCACGAAGCCAAATAAAGCTGCCCTCCTTATTCATCTCTACCCAAAATAATAAAATGATGGAGAACAACAAAAGATGCAAACAGAGCGTATGTCCTAGCCTTGATGTCTTGTCTAAGAATAATAACTCTGATCACACAATTCTCTTTCAGAATTAAGAGAAATGTTACAAAGTTGTATTGAGATGACCAATATTAAGAAATGAGAAGTCCATGATCTATTTCTAACTCCAAGGTGTTCTTGACCCTATTTCTTTGAATAAGAATCTGCACATGCTTCCGGTTTTCCATGATCCATGTGTGTCTTCAGAAGGCAAGGCCAGAACCTGATTATCAGACCACTGCTGGCAACCAGTGTTGAGGTAACAACCCTCTAGCCAGACTGAGATCAAAATCAGCCACACAGCCACACTGAGCGTCTGTCAACAGGAAAGAAGTCAAATCTGTAGCATAACAATGCTACATCAGCCTCCAGGGTTTTGCCTGGTTTTCACTGTATTTGACATAAGTCAACTGAATTCTGTCAGGTAAAAGGACATGACATGGTCCCATGTCCTGTGAGAATAAGAAGGGGGCCATAGTCCCTAGGATGCTTCGTGTCTTTCCAAAGAACTGCTCACATTTTTGAAGACTAAAAAGATCTGCTGAGCAGGGAAAAAAATCTCTCATTTGTCATAGGTTTCCCCTAAACTCTGCACCCACATACCCACAGTAAATCGGCTCAGCAGAGCTTCTTCAGGCGTGGTTGTCACCTTGTCTGAATACCATGAGCTGATCCTCGGGAAAAGAAAACAAATGAGCAGTTTCTGGCTCAGTGCTGAGGAGAGCTGAAGCCCATTCAGCCCTCAGCTTTCACATCGCTGCTACTTCCTTCTAACAGCGATTGCTTCAACAAGCATCATTGAACTACATGAAATCGGGATCAATCTATAGCACAGTCCTAAGCCTACAAATGTACGTTTCACCAGCTTTCAGAAATGACTCACTAAACCAATCTTTTTCCTTCCAAAAGTACAGCTTGAAAACAGGGATTCTGTCTTTTTCTGTGATGCATCCACAATCTGGGCCAGAAACTGACCCCTTGTTATAGCAGTCACCCCCAGTTTCTTCCTGCGTTGTCCCTTCTTTATTCTGCAAGAATCACTTTAACTGTGCAAAAGGAGACTGTCTATGAATAGGACTTCCCCTCAGCCATTGCTGCTCACTGCAGTCTTTGCTGCTGTATCCAAAAACAGCTAAGAAGCCTGGAAAGAGAGGATTTAGAGTGAGAAGAACAAGACAGGGTTCTAGCAGAAGGCAGGGCAGAAGCTCATATTTATCAGCCTTGGAGATGTGGATGGAGTCAGATCATCAGATCACTCCAAGGCCATGGGCCTGCACCCTAATGAGATACAAGAAAGAGACCAGTTGTGGGCAGTGAGGTTGGGGAAGGTGTCAGGTCAGACTGTCTGGATCTCAATTTCTGGTATTCTGGGAGATAGAGTTAGCATGGGAAGCAGCCCAGCTCAGCCTCCCCTAGAAGGCATGGGAGTTTTGCCTGAGCCAGGATTGGCTAAGTATACTTTTATTTTTTAATTATCTAGGATTCTTCTTATCTAAGGGAACCCAGCCACTCTGCACTGGCACATTAGGAACTGGACAGTAACAGCTGTACTTGTTTAATGGAACAAGCTACACACCAGAGAGGGCAAAAATGGAAAACAACTTGAACTCTTGGTTTACTACCCATGAAGACCACATATGTGGACTCACTTCTTCCTGCATCTCTGATGAAATCTCTTGCAGGTCTCTTAAGTCTCTCAGTCCACTTTAAGTACAAAAACAATTTCCTTTTAGGAACAATTGCCTAATCGAACATGAAAATCAACAACCGCACTCTTACCTTATTTGGAATCTTTTGTTCCACCAGAATATTACAGTTTTACAACTAGTAAAGCAATGAAGGAGGAGGCCCAGCTGATTGCCTTTCTGGCTTTTATCCTTCCATTCTTTTGTTTCAGTCCCCAAGCCTAGTCAGGCTCCTCTACAACAGACACCAAAAGAGGAAAGTGTTAGGGGAAAGGAGTCTTAGGACAGCTTGTTCTTTTGTGATTGGACATTTGGAAAATGTTAATGTAGCTCTTTGTTTCATGAACCTTTAGAGGGTGATTTGGGGGCCTTCTTTTACTTACCTCCAGCGAAAGCTTGCTGGATGTGGGCAATACTGACCCTCTCATGCGCACTCAGTAAATGCTAACTACGGTTTTCATTTAACTCCAACTTACTTTATGTCCATTTTCATATTGAGAAGGGACATCATAATTACTACAATCTTCTGGCAAAAAAAAACTGATGTAGAAACTTAAATACTATTCAAAAACTAGCACCGTAAAAGCACAGATGAAATGATGCCCCTGGGTACCAACGATCATTAGAAGGAATGTGTCATTCAGACTCTGTTTCTACTTACGGATTACTGAACCAGGACTATGAGAACTCAAGGACAGGATTTCAAAGAAGAAGAAATGGGCACCCATGAAGGACAGGTAAAAATCTAACTTTGATTGTTACCTTGACATCTTCTTGCTATCCTTTGTTGATAAGATTCACCCGAAACTCTACAAATGTTTTCTCCACTGACATCCTGAATTCAATCACACTGAAAAGGACAGTGAGTATTTAGAAACTTATCAGGTTGGAGAGAAAATACCAACCTGAGCACTCTCTTTGCAGTGAGCAGAGAGGCTTTAAATTTGGGTAGCTGAGGGGATCAGAGGTGTCGGAAGGAAAGGAAATATAACCTAAGTCTTTACTGGGAAGAGAAGGATAGTAAATGTGCCAGAAAAGAGTCTGGCAAAGAATTCATTTGGTGTAATCAAAAGTAAGGTTGAACAGATAGGGAAAATCAGATAAAAATGATTAGTGAATTATAATAGATCTTTTTCAAAGAAGGAAGAAGACAATCTGACCTTTTCTCAGATGACCACTGTGATTGGTGACATTTTTCTCTAATCTAAAAAAAGAGATGTTCACAACTGTGATTTCCTCAGTGTACTAAGAAAGTTCCCATGTCTCAAATCAACTGACAGAATTTCCAGGAAGACCAGAGAACTATCGCTTTGCAATTATTTCAGAGAAATTTTAATGTATCTTGAAACTGTCCTTTTGAATAGTACCATCTTGTTCTTACATTGCAAAATATTCATTTTCTTATCACAAGAAGCTGGCTCAGCATACACACACTCACCTTAGGAGATTTCAGTTGTTTGGAAAGGCAAGGATGCTTCAGGTGAGAAAATAAAGTTGCTTTTAATAAGAAATGCCCACGAATAAGTGTGATATATGAGGTTTTACCTGATTTATGTTCAGTAATAGCTTCTAGAAGAATAGACAGCAATGCAAAACAATCACATTGTATGTAACATTTTGCTTCAGAAAGTGCTTCTGCTCATTTGCCTGTGGCTTGTGTACACTTCAAGAGGAAGCATCCATCCAACACCTTTTCTTCTGATTTATAGGAAAGGTCATTTAATCCCAAGGAAGCAATTTGCTAAATATTAAACTCTCCAATTCTCCCTTTCTTAGTCCCTTTATATTCTCCTAGAATTACTTGAGATTATGATCTGGACCAGTAGCAAAAACAGCTAAACTCTTCTAATAACTATTACACATTGACTTTTTAGGTATGAATATGCAAAATGATGAGTGGAAAATTTATATAGTGTATAATCTTTTATTCCATAGTTTGAATGTAAATATAACACTATAAATTTGTCAGGAATGCACCTAGAATAATCATGAATTAATTAGTAAATACTATTTGCATCAGTGATATATTCATGCAATATTTATTATATTGGTTTAAAAAAGGTTGGGTTCTGCAAAATACAACAGTGTTAGGGAAATGCCACCTAACCCTTTCATTTATTAATTTTTGCACTTTATTTATTTCTACTTAGTATTGGTTTAAAGTTTAAAAACTGCTTATATTTAGATGACCTATTTTCCTTTCAAGTACTTACCAATATAATTTGCAATTACCAGAGAACTCCAATTACAGAAAATAACAAAGTCTTAAATTACAATGGCAGTCCTTAGAGGGAGAACAATAAGGAAAAAATTCAACCCCACCGGATATATCACAAAATAAATGAACAGTAACAGAGATATTTACATCTTTTCAATAAAGGTGCATCATCGAGAAGTCAGAGCATAAATAAAAACAGGGACACCCTTCAACTTGCCCTCAAAAGAATTTGCTGAAGTGTCCAGCAGCTCACACTCTGTAATACCTACTATACTAAAATAGTATATCACACCTGCCAAGATACCAAGGTGAAAGCATAAGGTCACTGGCGATCTTTGCCGTTATGTAATGGTTTACTCAGTAGCAAAGTTATCAGAAAGTGGGTCCTGCAATTGAGACTGAAAGAAAGGTGTGGTAAAGTCATTCAGCATGTGTGCTTGTCACCATGGCAGGCCGAGACACTGGTCTATCCAGGAAGGGAGAAGAAAATGGTAAAGTCTAGCCTGCACCAAATCACAGTGAGTCCAGATGCAGCAGCTTGGCCTCGTGCTTGGCTTGCAGGTTACCTAACCTGGGGGCAAAGCTTTCTCTGAAGGTATTTCTGCCTTCTGTGATAAATCCTTTCAGTTCTCTCTTTGCTATCAACTCTGATATTTTGTTTATCTGTATCTCCAGAAATCTTGTGCCTTAGAGGTTAAATCACCCTTCCTGATACTATAACTTGTGTCAGAACTGATCTCTATGGGTTTCTAAAAGTAAGCTTTGTTTCAGCACTCACTGAGGTGTGCTAACTCCTCAGCACCGGAGAATTTCATTGTTCTCAGAGACACGGTCATCTGTGATGCTTCACTCACTTTCCGTTTATTTATTATTTATATTACTTATGGGATAATATGATTTATTATCCCATGCTGAAAGGCACACATGAGTTTACTTTCTCATCCACTGCTGACCATTTTTACCTTCAGGTATCTGACATCCGCACTGAGCACCCCGGGCCGTAGAGTCACCCACAACTGTGTCCCGCTCTGGCTCCCAGGCAGTGCCTGAAATACACTCTTGTGAATTTCCCTCAACTAAATGATTTATCTCCAAAGTAGGCTATGGTAAGTCCTGAAAATAGCCTGAATATCCTAGGAACGTGAGGCGATATCTAGATGTTCAGTCCCGTGTGACTCCCTAAATGGGTTTACTGAGCCAGCTCCCTAAGGTCCCATGGGGACTCACCACTTTCACAATGTACCTTTTCCTAACAAAGGACTGGATTTATATATGGAGCTACTACTGTGGTGCATTTTCCCAAGTGGCCAAACTAGAGGCTGAGCAACAGGACATGATATATGGTCTTGTAAACAAGGCATTTTAACACCCTCTTCTAATCAAATTCACTATGGGTTATGCCACCCGCCAACCAAACCTTACTTTTATGTAATCAATCATAATATATAATAAATGTATATCATTTGAGTCAGCATACACGAAATATGATCATACTAATAATTCAACTTAGATGAAAAAATATTCACTCTTTAGAGCCTTAAGATAATAAGAAACATGAAAAAATCTTAAATGTATATAACACTTATTTTTACTCCTGAAAAGTGTGAGGAATTAAAAGACTTTCAGTCATAACAATATAGTCTGTGAGAATGCATCTCTTCATAAAAGGGAACTAGAAATACGGTGGCACTTCAGTTCATGAATTTTATTTGCTCTCTGACTTTGGAAACGATGGCTATGGTTGAGTCTATCACCGGATGCAGAGCTTACAAACAAAAACAAAATTTTACCAAAGGTCTCTGTTTCCAAACCAAATTGTTTGCCAACAGAAGTGCTCATGAACCAAAGTACAAACATATAAATGCTAAGATAAATTGAAATTTTACAAGATTTTCTAATGTTAAATTAGAGAGATTCTTCTTGCATTTTTGAGCATATGTTAATTGGACTCAGATACTATGGAATTCATATATGTTGGATAAATGTAAAGAATGATTAAAAAATTTTAAATATCGATACTATAATATTGAAATATTGAAAATTATTTTTGGGTTATTTAAAACTATAACAAAAATGTTAAATGACAACTTAAAATGTGGAAGACTACTTAATCTGAAAACTCTTATCACCTAGGTATCTGTTGAAGACAGAAAAAAAAAAAAGAAGGGAGCAAGACTGCAAGCTTCCGTGTATTCTAGAAAATAAACTACTACAGCATCTTAGTCTAAAAACATTAAATAATTTTACATTGGATATTTTCATGTCAGGATAACAATTTTAAAAGACCATCTTTTAGTCAATTTCCATTTATCTATCTACATCAGTAGATTCTAAATAGTCCAATTCACTGTTGACTTAAACCACTATAGTTTGGCCATGCCCTTGAGAAGTACAGTATTAAAAGAGCCATGAGTAGACCAATGTACAGCAAACTGAGACAGCAGACTCACAAGGAGAAATGTGACCATGCACATCCCACATAAAAGGATATTTAAGGATGTCAAAATATGGCATTTTGGTACAATGTAGGATTAACCCTGACAGTCCCATTTCCCTTATTTGTTATAAAAAATTCAGTTTAGTCCTCCTTGTGGAAATTAAAATTAATTCAGTTAAACTGGGTAGTTTCCAGAAGTTTATTTTTCTTTCAGAGAGAGAGAGAGAGAGAGAGAGAGAGAGAGAGAGAGTCCTTATCCACTCTCCTCTCACTCCTTCGTCCAGTTCTGCCCCCCTCTCTGCTGCGTGAAGACCCCATGCCTCCCCTTAGCTACCCTGCATGGTATCACCTGTTCTACCCGGGCATTTATGAATGAACAAAACCAGACAATGCCTTCGTTTTCCTCTGCCAATCTGCAACTAAGCTCTTCATGCCTCAACCAAGGTAACAGGATGGAAATAAGGACATGTGCTGTTTTCCTGGGTTCCATGGTTGTGTGGCAGGCGTGGGTACCTGGACAAACTGAGATTCAGCTAGGAAATCAGAGGGGTGGGGGTTGAAGTATGGATTCGAGTTTAAAAGCAGTGTCCAGGTCAAGTAGCAGGGAACTGGGGCAGAAGTCAATTTAATACTCCCTAAAATACTGTTAGGAAGACACAACAAAAAAAACTCTCAACTAAAATTAATGAAAATAAACAAGTAAATTAAATATGTTGGCCATTCAGCACACTGTCTTTCAGAAAATTAACATAGAACACACATAATTGGTAATAAAAGAACAGAATTTAACAAAGATTTAGTAATTGTCCCTAGGAGATGACCTAACAATTGCAAATGTTGGATGTCATTGTAAACAAGCTCTTTAAATTTTAGAGATGACTTCTAAGCCAATACTGTGAGTGGCTGGAATGTGAAGATCATAAATACATACCTGCAGGGCAAATGGGAGGAGAAAAACAAGGCTGTCTTAGCGCTACACAAGCGGGCTTTACCAGCATGGGGTAAATTCAGGGACGGCATCACACATGATTCAAAAAATGCTGTATCTCGAACAACAGAGGTAGAAGCAAAGGTGACAAAGCTGCATTAAAAGGATTCAGAAGTGGCTTTAGTCATGGATGTCAATGATGAACTTGAAGACCAGGGCAAAAATGAAAGTTAAAAATGCACATTCTCTTGATACGTTTGATGCTATAGTATACGAAGTTATACTCAAATATTTCAAGGAAAGAGACACTATGGTAACTACTATCATGTCAGGTTATCTGGTGATGAAACACTATGTTGCTTAAATTGTTCTGTTATGACCTGTGTTGTTTTGTTAAGTCCTCTTTTATCTCAATCTCCCCTTTTTTTTCCTTTTTTTAAAAAATTATTTTTTTATTTTTTTAATTAAGGGAAAAAATAAAAAATAGTGGGATATATTATAGTAACTTTTTTGTTTTCCTATTAACCTGATTTGAACCCCTGTATTGCTCTCACCATCTTGTTTTGACTGATTTTACTCTATTCTGTTTGATAGTATCAAGTTTGAGGGTATAGGCAACTACTTTGAAGGCAATAAGATTTACTATGATGCCCATTATGGTTTGACTATTACCTTCTTTTGAAGTCCTATAAGGTCTCCAATGTTTAAGTTTTATTGGCTTTGTTTTGTTCAATTCTATTATACCTGATGATATGGGCAACTCTTTTTTTTTTTTTTTTTTTTTCTCAGTACTGAGGATTGAACTCACGACCGCCTACTTGCAAGGCAGGCGCTTATGCCACTGAGCTAAATCCCCAGACCCAGGGCAACTCTTTTTAAGATAGCAAGAGGCATTATGGTAACCATTGTTGATCACCTGGTATTCTGTTTTTACATCATGTACTATGTCCATCCTTCTGTTCTAACTGGCTCTGTGTTGTTTTGTCACATTTGGTTTTATTCTCTTCAAAAAAAGAAATAAGAACTGTGGGAGTAATAAAACCCAAAATGTGTAATTGTTATTGTAAAAAAGAGAGGAAAAGAAAGTGCTCTAAAGGATATAACTACATGTATATTTAAGTGTTTAAGACAGAAAACCATATTACTAAGTTTTTGTTGGATCATTGAACAGAACTGTTTGAAATCTCACTGTGTGAATGTCCACTTTGTATGCTTTAATTTTGTAATTTGAACAACTATTTCTAAGATGACAATATGTAATCTATTAACTAGTAATTTCTTACTGTTTATTTTTTTTGAAATTCTGTATTACTTGTATCCTTTTACTGTTTTGTTTTGTTTTCTCTTTAAATAAAAAAAATTTAATAAAAAATGCACATTCACTTTGAGTTTATCTAATACACTATTAAACATATAACCCACCTAAACTAACAACCAGACCCTGGATTGTTTCATCTATGTCTCCTATATTTGTTTATTCCAGCTTGAAAACAACTTTTCCAAAGTAGAAAATGGAGGTCAATTTGCAGATGGGTGCTTCAAGCAAGCAGTCAGCAGGGAAAAAGCACGATGGCTCAAACCCAAGTCACAGAACGCACAGAACGTGCGAGCCAGGGAGGCTGCTCAGCCTTCTGTCTAGAGAACGGGCGATGCAGGGGAGAGAGAAGGGGTCCACAGATAAAGTAAAGTGCAAATGCAGAGCTCTGGGACAGAAAGAGGCATAGGGCTGGTGCGGGGGGTGGGGTGGGGAGCAAGTTAAGGCTGGAGCAGAGGGAAATGAGGAAAGGATAGCACAAGCCGAGGCAGAGGGTACTACTGAACCCTGGAGGGGCCTCATCATTTTGTCTTCAGTGGAAGACATCACCTCCACAGATGCAGAAAAAGCATGGACAAAGTCCACCACCCATCCATGATAAAGACCATACAGAAAATCAGAATAGAGGGTCTGTACCTCAATCTGATGAAAGCCCTCTCCTACAAACCACAGCCAGCATAGTGCTAAATGGAGAAAAACTCAAAGCTTTCACTCTAAAATCAGGAACAAGACAAGGAGGTCCACTATCACCACTTCTGTTCAATATGGTTCTGAAAACGTTATCCAGATTAATTAAACGTGAGAGAGAAATAAAAGGAAGAAAGGAGAAAAAAGGAAAAAAATAATCATTATTTGCAAATGACATGATACTCTACATAAAAGACTCCAAAAAGTCCATCACAAGACAGTGAGATTTAATAACCAAATTCAGTAGCATAACTGGATACAAATTCCACACTCACAAATCGACAACATTCCTGTGCACAAACAACAAACTACTGAGAGAAATTAGAGAAATAACACCTTTCACAATAACATCCAAAAAATAAAACATATAGGAATCAATTAACTAAGGAAGTAGAAGAGCTTTACATTGAAAAATGCAGTACTCTGAAAAAGATCAAAATGGATACCAGAAAAATGGAAAGATATCCCTTGTTCTTGGGTAGGAAGAACCAACACAGTAAAAATGGCCATACTTCCAAAATTATTACACAGATTTAATGCAATCTCAATCAAAATACCTATAGCATATCTCACTGAATTAGATAAAATAATCTCAAAAATCATTTGAAACCAGAAGGGACCTAGAATAGTTAAAGCAATTCTAGGCAACAAAGGCCAGTGAGGGGGCATCACAACCCCATATTTCAAGTTATACTATAGAGCTACTGTGATAAAAACTTCATAGTACTAGAAGAAGAAGAAGAAGCAGAAGAAGCAGAAGAAGCAGAAGCAGAAGCAGAAGCAGAAGCAGAAGCAGAAGCAGAAGCAGAAGCAGAAGAAGAAGAAGAAGAAGAAGAAGAAGAAGAAGAAGAAGAAGAGGAAAAGAAAAAAGAAAAAAACAGACCTGATGATCAGTGGAACAGATTAGAAGATGCAGATGTAATTCCAAACACTCAGCCACCTTATCTTTGACAAAGCAGCCAAGATGTTCACTGGAAGCCTGATAGCCTTTTTAATACCTGATGCTGGAAAAACTGGCTTTCACATGTCAAAGGTTAAAACTAGACCTATGCCCATCACCATGCACTAAGCTAAAATTGAAATGGATCACAGATCTAAATTTTAAAACAGAAATACTAAATCTAATGAAATATAGAACAGGTAAAATTCCTGAATATATAGGTATCAGCAAAGACTTTATGAAAAAAACTCTAATTACACAGGAACTATCACAAAGAATCAACAACTTGAATCTCATAAGCTTTGCACAGCAAGAGAAACCACCAACAGAGTGTAGAGACAACCCACAGTGTGGGAAAAAATTTGCCAGCTGTTCCTCAGACAAAGCACTAATTTCTAAAATATATAAAGCACTAGAAAAATTCAGATCTTCCAAATTCAAAGACTCAGTCCAATAATGGGCATCTGAGATGAAAAGACATTTCTCAAATGAAAAGTAGGAATGGCAAATAAACACATGAAAAATTTTTCAACATCATTGGTCATTAAAGTGATGCAAAGTAAAACAAGGCTGATATTTCATCTCACCCCAGAAAGAATAGCTATCATCAAGAAATCAACCAGTAACAAATGCTGGTGGGGCTGTGGGGAAAAGGAACCCTGCTCCACTATTGGTGCAGCCACTGCAGAAATCAGTATGGAGATTCCTCGGAAACTTAGATTGGAAGTCCACTTGCCCCAGCTATTCCTCTTCTTAATATCTTCCTAAAAGAATTAAACACATCATATCACAGTGATACCAGGACACTCATGTTTATGGTGGCACAGTTAGTAATAGCTAATCTTGGAAACAACCCAAATGCGCAACAACCAATGAATAGATAAAGAAGAGGTTGTGGGGTTTTTTTTGGGGGGGGGGGGTGGATTCATTTTTTAATGCAACAGAGTACTACTCAGCCATAAAGAAAATTAAACTTGAGACCTTTCTAGATAAATGAATTCACCTTGAGACCATACCCTTATGTGAAATAAATCAGTCATTTAAATACGGTTTTGTTTCTCTAGTGTGTGAAACCAAAAGTGTAAAAAAAGACCAAAATGTATAATAGATATTGGGAAATGGGAAGCAAATGTTCAGATGAGGAGGAAAACAAGATGTGGAGAGGAAAGAAGGGACAAGATAAAAAGAGAAGAGAAAAATAGAAACAACTCTTTTGGAAATGAGGGGTAGAGGGGTTGAAGGAGGAGAGAGGAAAGGGAAAAAAGAAGCAAGTTATATCACATGTAGGTATAAATTCCTTGTGATGAATATGCTCATCATTTATACTAAAATATACCAATAAAATTAATTTTCTAAAGAGTGAAAGGAAGCCAGTCAAGAGGTCTTCATTTTAGTAGTCCAAATGAGAGACATTGGTCTTATGGAAGACAGTGCCAGTAACCTGCAGGCTGTGATAAGAATTAAATAGAATTTAATTACAGGTGGATGCTTGGGTCATGGTGGTGGCAGTGGAAATAAATGCAATAAGAACACAGAAGATCTGGAACGAGTTTTGGGGGGCATACTGGGAATCTGCATTATCTGTGATGCCATTAGAAAGAAACAGCTCTGAGGGGAGAAAAGCCACAAGACAGGACACAGCGTACCAGAGGATGAGTGTTCCTGCTGTTCTTTCAATAACATGTTAACGTCCTGTGTATTACAGGCACAGAAACTTTCATCTTCCACATGCTGCATAAAGAGAAGTTCCAACATACACAGTAGAATCATCACCTGGTGAGAGCTGGTGTATAAAATAACCCTCACCTGATCTGTTTTGGAAGAGAGGAAGTTCTTGCCAGCACACTGAAAGAAACCTCGTGGTCTTTTCCAAGCAGCAGTGCTTCACAAAGCCACTGTGCATCAAGAAGCAGACCCAGACAGAAATCCAGGGAAAGGCACTTAAATGTTAAAAAATACTATGGACCATCAGAGAGGACCTTCTAATACTCCTCGTGACACCTACACTCTCCTTTTTTTGGAAAGGAAAGCTGATTTTGATATAGAAACCTAGTATGCAGGAGGAAAATGATCATGTTAGTTGTCCATTCCACTGGTGTTGTCTATGGTTCAATATTTCTCCTTAAGGATATTCCAGTATGCGGCCTTGGGCCTACATAGAGCATGTCTATGGCACTGAGGGCACAGGGAAGTTGGCCAGCACTAATCCCAGGGACCATCCACCACTCAACTCCAAGCTCCTATCAGTGCCTCAGATGCTGAGAAGACTACTCCTAGTGGAAGAAACTCAAGAACTCAGGAAAATGCCCTTTCCAGGGAGAGAAGGCAGAGAGAAAGTCCACCTCAGACACATGCGGCACACAAGGAGTTAAACTCTGCGGACCACCTTCTCTAATGGATGTGTAGCCAAGGAGGTCACCATGGATACATCTGGCTGCATCTGTCTGAGTTATGTGTATTGAACAGATTGCTACAGGGTGCTTTTTTTCAGGTCTCATTATGTGTGTGTAATGCCAATTAAATAACAGGAATGAAAATTAAAAAAGAATATCTGCCCCTGCTGGGTTTAATCTCATTAAGGCAAAGTCGAATGATTAGTTCTGAAAAGGGTTGCAGTGAACAGCAAAGACGGCAGGGAAGATGCAAGTGTCTCCTGCACCACGCTGGGAAATGAATCGGAATTGCTCGCTCAACAGGAAGTACCAGAGTTATTCCTATCAAAAGATCCTGGTATGGCTTGAGTAGCAGTGGGTATCTACCTGAATAAACAAGAAGTAGACTACACATCTTCAACTTCAACTCTATAATGGCAAACTACCAAGTCAAGTGTGTTAAGGGAAGATGTCATCCCCCAGGACACACTGATTGTGAAACCTCACAGATACTTGCTTTATGGTGGTAGATATCTCACATAACCTTAGAGCATCTCTTTCCAATTAATCAAATCACACCCAGGTATGAATCTGCCACCAGCATTGGGCAGCTCTGAGAGAAAATAGGAAGTGGAACATTATATTTACTTTCAGCCTCATATTCCATGTAAAATGGAGGCCTTGAGCAGTCTGTAAGTACCCAGCAGGGGCCACCCTTTAGGCCTCAGATGGCCGATTAAATTCTCTTCCTTTGTAAAGGCTGGGAAATGTCATCTATAGCTGCAGACTTTGCAAGAATACTTTGAATACTGAACTGTGTGAACATGGTGATGCCCAAAAGACTCATTTCTGTGACACACCACTGTGCACCTTTTACTCAGAGTACTCTGCCCCATTATGCCTCCACCCTCAAAGCAGACAAAGCAAGAAGCATACCAAGGTGTTACATGCAGGAGGTAAGGTAGAGATAAGCTTCTATACCTATTCTAAGATAAGATACAGAAATCAGCTTTCTGTATCATCTTGAGTTAACAGTTTCAGGGAACCTTCAACGGCCAAATCCAGGGAACCATGTTATGAAAATGTTATGAAAATGCTTCTGCTGGGCAGAGACCTAAACACTGTGTTACCTGACCAGGTAAGGCTCTGGCTTTCCCTACTCAGGATATGGAATGTTTACTCAATCCCTCTCAGTGGTGTTTCTATCAAGCAATCTTCAACAAATGTCCAGAGTTAGACCTCCAGGGGCCTTTGTGTCAATTACTTTCCCATCACTAGGACAAAATACCCAGCACCCACAGCTAAAAGGAGAAGAGGTTTATTTGTCACACATTTTCAGTTCATGGCTGGCTCCAAGGCAGAAGTGGCAAGGTTGGAAAGTCTGGACAAAGAACAGCTGCTCATCCACAGCAGCCAGAAATCAAAAGAGAAGGAGAGCCAGGGAGCAAAATAAACCCTCCAGGTTGTGCCTCAGCAAAGCACCTCCAAACCCACCTCCTGATGGCAAGTCAGCCATAGTCCCCTTCCCTAACCCTCACCTCTGAACACAAAGCTTCTGGGGGAAATTCTGTAAACCATAGCAGTCTCTGAGTGTGCCAAAATAATATGTAAAAATGTGTGTACACATGAATTCTTCAGCGAGGTATGTTGCTTTCATTTGATTTTCTACCTCTTGAATGTGAGATTTCAAAGACTTTCTACTGTTGAAAAATCTCATGTTTAGTTTTACCCTCCATAACACAAAATGTGGAAAAATAAATGAAAATCAGTTCTGACTCTCAAAGTCATCACAAGGATTCAGTGATGGGCTATAGATTGGAGAAAAAATAAAATACAACTTGGAGAAAGCATTAAGAACAGCAATCACGAACTTTTCAGCTTCTTGCCATGCTCGGCCAGCACTGGGAATTTGGGCCGCCTACCTGGACCCTCAACTCTGGAGACTACGTAGCCTGGGGTGAGTGTCCCCACACCATCCCGAGCCCGGGAGGGAGTTAAGATCATTGCTCCCACCATCTTTGCGGTTTCCTGTCACACTGGACTGGTTCAGCAGGGCTTGGTCCTGCCTGCTCCACCCCCAGTGATCCTCTCCCAATCTGGGGAACTAGGCGGCCAGAGTCCCAAAGCTGAGAGCATAGAAGAGGACTTCCAACAGGTCCAGGAGAAGCCTTGGAATAACATTTGAAACATGGAAATATATCAAAATGATAAAATGAAGACCAAAACACAATCTCAAGCCTCCAGCCCATCCCAAGAAACCTTAGGACCTATGTACATAGAAGAAAACATATGCCATACACCTGAAATACCTGAAATAATAGCAACTGAAATAAAGAAGAAACTGGTGGAAGATTTAAAGGAATTCAAACTAGAAATAATCTCCCAGGTAAAAGAAGAAATGATAAAAGAAGTGAAAGAGATGCTGAACATATCTAAAGAAGACACAGTTAAAAAATTTGAGGAGATAAACAAAAAGATAGAATCCCTGGATGAACAGTATAAGAAACAAACAGAATACATGAAGCAGATACAAAGAGATATACAGGAATCAAAAATTCCATTGAAAGTTATAAAAAGCACCTCAATGAAAGTGAAGATAGAATTTCAGACCTTAAAGACAAGGTTGCAGCTACTGAACAAGAAAGGAAAGATTTCTTAAAAATAACAAGAAATCATGAAATAACAATTCAACAGCTGCAAGATAATGCAAAGAAAAACAACATAATATTGATAGGAATAAATGCAAAAGAAGGAGACAACATAAAGGATGTCAAGAGGATATTTAGAGAAGTAATAGCTGAAAATTTCCCAAAAATGAGAATGGAAACTGACATCAGGATCAGTGAAGCATACAGAACTCCAAATAGCCATAACCAAAATAAAACTATACCCAGACATATAACAATCATCATCCCAGAAATCCAACATAAGAAAAGAATATTAAAAGTGGTCAGAGAGAAAAGACAGATCACCTATTAAAAAAAACCTATCAGAATCACAGAAGACTTCCCAGCACAAACAATAAAGTCAAGAAGAGCATGGAGTGAAGTATTTCAGATCCTAAAGGAAAATGATTTCCAACCTAAAGTGATATACCCTGAAAAACTGTCCTTCAAAATCAATGGAGAAATAAGATACTCCCATGGCAAGGTACAGCTGAAGAACTTCATGATCACCAAGCCAACCCTGCAAAGAATACTGAAAGTTTAGATACACTTAGGAAAAAACCACTAAGCAAAGCAGACAATTAAACAGAATGGAAAGATAAAGATTCAACAGCAGAAAGATAACATGTCAACAATAAACCAACATATAACAGTTATAACCATTAATGTAAATGGTCTCAGTGCACCAATTAAAAGAAATAGACTGGCAGAATGGATCAAGAAACAACATCCAACCATATGCTGTTTACAAGAAACTCATCTAACCCAAAATGATACTCACAGAAAGTCAAAGGATGGAAAACAATACTTCATGCAACAGGAACCCCCCTGAAAAAGCAAGAGTAGCTATTCTGTTTGCAGACAATGTGAACTTCAAACCAAGAATGATCAGAAGAGATAAACAAGGTCATTACATACTGGTTAGGGGAAAACTTCAAGAGGAAGAGATAATAGTCTTAAATATATATGCACCAAATTCCAGAGCACTCAGTTATATAAAGCAAGTATTAGTAGAAATGAAAAACCAAATTAGCAATAACACAATTATAACAGGAGACTTTAACACACCACTGACATCAAGGGACAGATCAACCAGACAGAAAATCAGCAAAAAAATAACAGAACTGAATCACACCTGTGAACAAATGGACTTGATAGACATATGCAAAGTGGTCCATCCAACAACATCAGAATACACATTCTTCTCAGTAGTATATGGGACATTCTCTAAAATAGAGGATATACTAGCCCACAGAACACAATTAAATCAATGCAAAAGAGTTGAAATTATCCCATGCGTGTTAATGGATCATAGCACCATGAAACTAGAAATTAATGATAAAAGATACTGCAAAAATCCCACAAACACATGGAAACTGAATAACACACGCTTGAGTAACCAGTGGGTCACAGGGGAAATTAAAGAAGAAATTAAACAATATCTACAAGCAAATGAAAATACAAATACAACTTACCGGAATCTGTGGGATGCAATGAAAGCTATCCTCAGAGGAAAGTTTATTGCACTGAGTTCCCATATCAGAAAAACAGAATGAACACAAATAAACAACCTGATGGTACACCTCAAATATCTAGAAAAAGAAGAGCAAATCAAGCCCAAAGCCAAAAGAAGAGAGGAAATTATAAAAATCAGAACAGAAATTAATGCAATAGAGACTAAGAAAACAATACAAAGCATCAATGAATCAAAGAGTTGGTTCTTTGAAACAATAAATAAAATTGATAAACCCCTAGTCAACCTTATTTTAAAAAGGGAAGAAAAAGCTCAAATTCATGCAATAAGGAATGAAAAAGGTGAAATCACTACAGACTCTAGAAATACAGAAGGTCATCAACACCTATTTCAAAAACTTCTACTCTCATAGGTTTGATAATAAAGAAGAGATTGACAGATTCCTAGAAACATATGATGTACCAAAGCTAGGTCAAGAAGATGTACAACTGCTGAATAGCCCAATTTCTATTAATGAAATTGATAATGTGATAGAGCCCAGACACACATGGATTCACTGTGGAATTGTACAAGAAATACGAAGAAGACCTAATGCAAACACTCCTCAAATCCTTCAATTAAATTGAAAGGGAAACAATTCTTCCTAAGTCATTCTGGGAAGCAAATATTACTCTAGTACCAAAACCTGAGAAAGACCCAACTAAAAAAGAGAACTATAGACCGATCTCCCTAATGAACACAGATGCAAAAATCCTCAATAAAATATTGGCAAATAGGATGCAGCAAATCATCAAGAAGATTATACACCATGACCAAGTGGGATTCATCCCAGGAATGCAAGGATGGTTCAACATACGTAAATCAATAAATGTAATCTACCATATCAATAAAGCCAAAAGTAAGAATTACGTGATCATTTCTATAAATGCAGAAAAAGCTTTGATAAGGTCCAACATTCATTCATGCTAAGAACCTTATAGAAAATTGTAATAGATGGTCTTTACCTCAATATGATAAAGGCCTTCTATGACAAACCAATGGCCAGTATCATACTAAATGGCCAAAAACTGAATGCCCTTATCTTAAAATCAGGCACAAGACAAGGATGTCCCTTATCACCACTCCTATTTAATATAGTACCGGAAACAGAGCCAGAGTAATTAGACAAGAGAGAGAAATAAAAGGGGTAAAGACAAGAAAAGAAGAAGTTAAATTATCATTATTTGCAGATGACATGATATTCTACATAGGAGACCCCCAAAACATTGAAAGACTCCTAGATAAAATAAATAAATTCAGCAATGTAGATGGATACAAAATCAATACTCAAAAATCAATAGCATTTCTATACACTAAAAACAAAATCACAGAGACATAAATAAGAGAAGCCACACTCTTCACACCAGCAGTCAAACAAGTGAAATATTTAGGAATTATTCGCAAAGATTTTTCTAAACAGCAAAGGCAAGGCAGGAGGCATTACAATCCCTGACTTGAAGTTATACTACAAAGCAATTATAATAAAATCACCATGGTACTGGAATCAAAACAGAGCCAAAAATCAATGGAACAGATTAGAAGATACAACCAAAATTACAAAAACACTCAACGACCTTATGTTTGATAAAGGGGCCAAACATGTTCAATGAAAGAATGACAGTCTCTTTAATAAATGGTGCTGGAAAAACTGGATCTCCATATGCCAAAAAGACTAGACCCATGCCTATCACCATGAACTAAATTAAAATCTACATGGATCAAAGATCTGAATATTAAAACAGAAACACTAAATCTATTGGAAGACAATTTGGGTAAAAACCTTGAAGACATAGGGGTAGGTAGACATGAACAGGACTCAAACTGCATAGGGAATACTTCCCAAAATCAATATCTGGGATCATATCTTATTAAAAAGTTTCTGCACATCAAAAGAAATCTCTAGCATAGTGAAAAGAAAACCTACAAACTGGGAAACAATCTTAGTGAACTGTCCCTCAGATTAAGGACTTCTGTCTAAAACATATAAAGAATTCTTAAAAAATCAGACCCCCAAAATCAAGGATCCAATCCAAAAGTGGGCATCTGAGATGAATACACAATTCTCAGATGAAGAAATACAAATGGCAAATAAATACATGAAAAAACGTTCATCATCATTACTCATTAGAGAAATGCAAACTAAAATCACAGTGAGATTCCATCTCACTCCAAAAAGAATGACCAGGATCAAGAAAACTACCAACAACAAATGCTGTAGAGGCTATGAGGAAAAAGAAACTCTCCTGCACTGTTGGTGAGAGTGTAGACTGGTACAACCTCTATGGAAGTCAGTCTGGAGATTTCTCAAAAAGCTGGTTTTGGAAGTCCCATTTGTTCCAAGCTATTCCACTTCTAGTCATAATTCCCAGAAGAACTGAAAGCATCATACCACAGTGATATATGTGCACCTATGTTTATAGCAGCACAATTTGTAATCACCAGATCTTGGAAACAACCCAAGTGTCCATCAACTGAGGAATGAATAAAATAGTTGTGGTATTTTTATACAATGGGGTACTACTCAGCTATAAAAAAGGATCGCATTGAGATATTTATAAATAAATGGGCGCAGCTTGAGACCATACTCATAAGTTTAATAAATAAAACTCACATGTGTGAATACAGAATAGTTTCCCTATTGTAAGAAAGGATTCAAATATATAAAAGTATGTGATTATAAAAGTACATGATTCCCCATTATGTAGCCTTGAACCCTTATAAGCTTTCACTCATTAATTGGAATGGCTTTATTCTGGGCTGCTTGATATTATTGCCTGTGATGAAATGAATAGCTATTTTGAAGAAAAACAAGACATCATAATAGCTAGTGCTGATTTAATATCATCTTGTTTTGAAGCCCTACCAAACTGTTGCTCTTCTGTCTCCATTGGTTTTATCATGTTGTATCTTATTGGGTTTATTATATGTGATAGTATAAACAAAATTTTTTATAGACAAGGAGCTAATAGGGTATCCATTGTTCATTTTCTGTTAGTTGGTTCTGAATACTTTCATTCTCTTGAATGGTTTTACACTGTCTTTTTATGTTTGATGCTGTAGTATATGAAGTTATACTCAAATATTTCAAGGAAAGAGGCACTATGGTAGCTACTGTTATGTCGGATCGTCTTGTGGTAAATAGTCATAATTCCCAGAAGATTAAATTGATTAAATTGCTCTGTTCTGACCTGTGTTGTTATGTCTTCTTTTATCTTAATCTTTTTTTAAAATAAAAATTAAAAAAAAAGAACAGTGATCACAATAGGAATCATTGACCTTGCCTGTCCTGGAAAAAGCATAAAGAAAGTCTACATGGAGACTAGCAAGAACGTGAAGAACAGAACACAGAAAGAATCCAGCAGAGGAAAGGGCCTCAGATGTCTCAGTCCATCCCTGCAGATGCGAGCCGTGCTGCAGGGCTGCACCCAAACCTTGGGATCTCACTCCTGCTCTAGTGCCATTATTCTTCACTAAACCCTGCCTGTGTTCCTCTGTCTGTCCATGTTTGAATTTGGTAGGCCTCCATTTGACTGTAAAGCTAAGCGTAATTTGCAATTAAATAAGCACATCAAGTAACAGTAACAAAGCAAGAGATAATGCATCTGTATAAGATATTACCCACTATCACAAGCCAACTGTCACCGCGAAATGAAAGAGGCTCCCAGGGCCTGGACGAATGTCACATGGAATTGACAATCCAATGATTCCAGCAGTATCCGAAGACTCGGCTGAAAAGACACGGGAAAAGCAATCATCCTCCCTCCCCACCCTGACCTGGGTCCCTGCCAGTAACCTAGTCCAGGACCTCCACCATGTTCTGCTCTTTGTGCCTTAAATTCCTCAGAAAAGACCTGATCTTATATTGCATAGTGTTGCAGCCCCTCTGAATTTCTTGCCAAAGCAGTAGAAGCTAGAAGATCCCTAACATTGTGGCTGCCTGCTCCTGCCAGTATCTGAATATGAGAAAGTCTCATTTCAACCAGGAGGAGGAAAGATGGTGCAGACCAAGACCTAGAGCTGGGCTTCCAGGCTGCTAAAGAGAATAAAACCACAGGAAACACCATGGCACCCACCAGGGCACATGCGTCTTCCACATGCTTTCAAGTCCCCGCATACTGTGGGAAAGTTAGTTCCATATTTTTCTCAAAATAAGTAACACACAACATCATAATTCACACAATTTTTCAGGAAATAAAAATACAGTTTGCTCTTTCCATACCCTGATGGTAATGTGCCTCACCCCTGAATGCGTATGTACTTTTCTTCCTCTGTACATTCATTAAATATTTCTTACTGAAGACAAACAAACTAATCCATCAGCAAACTGGTGGGTTGGCAGAATAATGCATAAAACTATGTTTTATCATGTATCTACTGATAGGTAGGCAGAGAAAGGATAAATGGTAACACTGTCTCATTCCTGTATTTTAAGTATATTAATAAGTAATGTGACAAAATTGTGTATTGATTTTATCATACAAATAATAACTATATAAACAAATAAATACATTTTCAGAATCCAGTCAACATTTAATGCCCTGACTTACTCAGAGGAGCAACAATAACAAACTCTAACAGCAAAGCTGCCTAGATTTATTGGAAGCAGCATAAGAGTTGCATTCTCGGCTAAATATATATTGATCCTTACATCTGCCAGCTCATACAAATGCATGGACACATGTCCGCCCTGGAATTAAAGTGACCCCGAGTTAGGTAGCATGAGAAACCTGATCATTTTGCTCATGACTGTTGGAGACTGAAGAGAGCAGAGGGGCAGAGACCAATGCAGCTCATATTGACTGGAGAAGAACAAGTCTGAAAACAAGAATCTCAAGAATCAGGGTGAGACAGGTCAGAATGGAAGGCAGGAGCTGAGCTCAGTCTCCTTTGGGAGAAATGGAGCTAAAAGAAACCTCAGAGCCAGAGAGAAAAGGGGAGGATAGTCGTGAAGCTCTATTTTGGCATTCTGAAATACTTTTCTGTTTTTAAGTGCTGGGAACTGACCTAGCCTTGGAGCATCCCAGGTAAGCATTCTTCCACTGAGCTGCATCTCCAGCCCTCTAAGAAAGACTAAGAAGAATCCATCACCTTAAATTTTAATTTTGTTTTTGTTTTTCAACACAGTACTCAAAAAGTGCCCACTGGATCTATTTTGATGCCTGACTCTAGGAAACTGTGGCATGCTGTGATCTTCGATTTGGAAACAGATTTGCTGAACATAAACTTTGGCAGTAATCTAACATCCCTGCCTGGCATGCAGGAGGAGGCGCTGTGGAGACATTCATAGCCCCCGTGAGAGGAGAGGGACCGCGCCCATCACAGCAGTGCCTCAGTGTCATTCTGGTCTACATGGAGATGTGGAGGAGCCTGAGACCCCGTGTCTGCTTTCCCAACAGAAATTCCACACTCAGTAAGCTCACCACACATTTGCTTTCAACAAGAAAGTGATTATGTCACATTTGTTCAGCCCCATGGTAGCAGAACACAATGAGGTCTCTGTGTACAATTCAGAATCAACCCCCCAGGAAATACCAGTGCAGCTGGAGGACTCAAACCGCAGGTCGACACTTGGAATCTTTTTTGGAAGTAGAGAATAAATTCTATACAAATCAAGTAGAGGGAAATTTATCAACGTGTAGCCTTTGAGGAAAAGTAAGCCTTGACCATTAACCTCAGCCTTTACAAAAGGAGTCACGAGTCCACAATCACTAAAGATGTTTCTAGGGTTAGAAAGTCAGCGGTCACTAACAAGCCATGAAGCTTGGTGGCCCTCAATGTGAAACAATAGCAAATGGCTGGAGTTTGAAATAATGCCAGTCACCACCACACGCATTTATAAGCAAATGCTCTAAGTTAGCAAAGCTCAGTACTGTTCAACACATACTAAATACATTCTGGACATGTGCTGGATAAAATAACTTATTAGTGATTTCTTGAATCCTCATCACAACTTCATGAGGACGGAGATGACTATAAGGATGACTTTAATTCACAGAGATGCTAAGTAGCTTGACCAAGCTCTCATAGTTCACATCAGAGCCAGGATTTAAAACCAGCCTGACAGTCCGACTCCAGATGCATGTGTTTATTTATACTATGCAATGTCGGCATTGTGTTTAATGGCAAACTTTGCATTTAGATCTAATTTGGACATTTTTTACAAAGAAAAAAAGCAAAATAGAAATAATACAGAATTTCAAAAAAAAAAAAAAAAGCAAGAAATCACCAGTTGAAAAATTACGTTTTGTCATCTTAGAAGTAGTTGTTCAAGTTACCAAATCAAAGCATAAATGTGGACAATCAAACAATGATGTACAAACCATTCTGTTTGATGTACTTAGAGAAACTTGGTAGTACAGACCCCAGACCTCCACTTCGGAGGGTGGCCGCTCCGTGCCTGCCCTCACACCCTAGATCTAATTTGGAGTATACTATCCTGCTGATTTCTCTAAACCAGTCTTTACAGAGGGATAAACTGTACCTTGAAAAGAACTGCTTTTTAAAAAAATCTTATTTCCTAGTCCTGTTTATGCTTCCCAAGAGCACCATTTTCCAGAAGAAGAACAGTGAAAATAACCACACATCAGACACCTGAAGCCGTAGCCTCAGAATATAACATTATTAAACAATCTCAAGGTAGGGCACTCCTCAAACATTTAATGTTTCATTGCAGTGAATTTAGCCTCTCTATAACCTTCTTTGGAAGAAATATGAACATTTTCCCCTGGAAGTCTCAAGCATTATGTTTAACATGTATCGAATATGGCCCCATTTTATTCTATACTGCTTTTGTCTGCAACCATAATCCTGAAGTATAAAATGCATGTGTTCACTGGGGAACTAAAGAAAATTAATTCTCAGCAAACTTTTTCAATAGCTGTCACTCACTGTCTTGCTTAAAGGATTGTTCTGTTGTTGCACAGACATATAATTAAATATTGCTGTGAAAGGAGATAGATAACATGTCCTATTTTGCAGGTCTCAATTCTAAGGGGAAATCAGATCTGGCTTAGTATTGTCATAGTTGTGTAATTGCCTTTAAAATCCAGCTGTGAGTCATGTTCCTATACTTAGATCCTCATGACCCAAACCTTTTCTAAGCTTCGTGCATGAAGCCCTCTCCTCTTGCTTGGTTATATGACAGATGCTCACGGGCTCTGTTGTGATTTCCACTTCAGTTCATCTGCTTCACAGAGCAGTATCTTTAATCAGATTAAATCACTCTTGATATATTCTCCTTGAGGGTAAGAAGCATTGTATGATGTCATGGAAGTAGCATGCACTCAATAAAAAGAAGACTTACTAATTGTTTTGCTACACCACCAGTAGGTTGACATGCCATCATCTCTTCATAAATGTCCATGGCACTGCTGCTGTTATGCTTCAGTGACTTGCTATATTTTTTTCTCCAGTGTTCTTTTGCTAAACACAAAATGAGGGACACCAAATGCCTCATTTCAGCTACCATATGACAGGCCCTTAAAAATATCATCCAGGAACAGATAAGAAAAGACAGGCATTTGATTATATAATTTGTTTTATAATGACCACTTCTCTGATCCAGTTTTTCTGGCTCAGGACTTGAAGATGTAAGTTCAACTTCCATCTGAGTCCAACTCTTTCAAATTGACCAGGCAAGAAGGAAAAATCACAAGCCAACTAAATCCTCAGCTTTGACTGATGGTTTTGGCTACCAACCTTAGGAAATAAATTCTGACTGCAAAGGTTTCAAGGGACCCAGGAGAGAGTCTGTTGAGGCAGACGGGACACTGCAGGAGGGAGAGGCAGTCATAAAGGAAGACTGTGTGGCACATAGGACCAGATGGACCTGGACACCCGCCACCTTCACTATTTGTTCAACTGGTCACTGAAAATTTTGTGTTTTCATATTAATCACAGTAAAACTAAAACTTCTGAACAGCACCAAGCATATAATAAACTGTTGAGCTGTTCCAGTAAAAATAATAATCTGCCCTCAGTTGTAGGTGCCATAAAATAGCAGCGATCTTGATTTAATTTAAAAGTATTGCTGTTATGGCTCTCAGTCAATTAATTGATTATCTACAAACAAATGCCAAAATTACAACCATTACCCTGAACGCCTCTTATATTGTAACTACAAAGCCACACACAAATGTAGTCAATAAAGTCTGCACAGATACAGAATCTGCAGTTCAGGAGATGAGTCAGAAATTTTATACTAAAAGTCTGAGCATCACATTCATTTTCTGGGAAATTAAACTTCATATGCCCAATAAATTACAGATGCATAAGTCCACCTTTCCCAGAACTGAGAGCGAAATGGAAGCAGAAGAAAATACTATGAACTTTTGTTTCAGGCCATGTATTACCCAACAGAAGTGTGATGCTCATCCAGGAAACACAAAAGGATATGATTTCTTCCTCTCCCATCGTCAGTTTTTTTATGTCAAGGAGCTTCAAAAAATCCATCTGAACATCGCTGCATTATTTGCCAACATTTGGGGACATTCTGACACAGGTGTATCTGCCATAAAGAATAAGGAATAACGCTACCACCAGAAAAACCTCCTCCCTTATTCCCAGGTCTATAACAACATAAGGAAAACACCTGAGCTGTAAACCCATGGGAATCTGGACTCTAAGGGTGAATCCATTGTACAGCATTGATCCTGGTACTGGACCATGGATAGCAGTAATTCACCTACCAATCCTGCCAGAGGGGAGAGCTGAGCAGTTAATTACCGGGCTGGCTTCTGAACCTAAGGGGAATCTTAATAGACAGAACTAATTAAAATCAATACTCATACGGTAATCATGAGGAGGAAAAAGAGGCTCAAGATACATTTTTAAGTGGAGAAAAATGAGAAATCTCAATTCCTTGTGCCAAACTTGCTTTCTGTCTCTTCCTCAAAGGTTTACCCAAAGGTAATCTTGGAGGTAAAGACAGATACCAGATACAGCAAGTCCACTGAAAATGTTTCCTGGGTTCCTGGGCAGTGTGGTCATGAGTCAAAGATGCTGCATTTGAAACCAGGACCATCCTTAATATTAAATGTTCTCATCCTACACAACAGAAAACTTGGGTTATCTTTGTATTTTATGACATTTGGAAATTTATTTATTACCTTTGGCCCCAATACTTTTAAATCTCTAAAATAAAAATAAATGTAATCTCTAAGATCCCTTTATGTTATTCTGGATCATCATACCTAGAGATGTAGATGGGAGGCTAACTTTAAATACAGCAGTAACCATGCGCACCCAATTAAAAAATAATATTTCAAAAAAATAATAATATTTCAGCTGGGCATGGTGGCTCATGCCTGTAATCCCAGAACCCCAGAGGCTGAGGCAGGAGGATTGTTACGAGGTTGAGACCAATCTGGGCTACCAAGTGAGCTCAAATCCTGCCTGAACTGCATAGTTCAAAAAGACAAAAAACAGAAATAATGTTTCCAGTTCATATTTTCCTTTGAAACAACAAATATGTGTTATATACTATTCATTAATAGCTTATCTGGCTTCAAAACAATGAGGGGCCTCGAAGAGAAATACAGTGTTAGGTTTTGATTCCAAATACCTTTTGCAAAGTACCAAATAGAAGCTTAAAATCATTCCCCCAAAAGGGGATTATCACAGTGAATTCTGGCTTCCTGCCAGATCAATGTGATGTTATTCACTGTGGTAGTAGATTCTGGTAGTTGGTAAATTTCCCAAGTGAAAAATTGTCCTAGCCAAAGTTCTTTCTTATGTGACTTGAAATAAATTTTGATTCTTTTCCTTTTTAATTTAATAGTACATCCTGATGATAGGTGCAAAATTGTTATATAGTAGTCATGGGTAGCAGAAAGCAGGAAATTATTTATACTGTATTATTTATTTTTAATTATTTTTTACTTGATCATATATATTTGTGGTAAAATATTTAAATAGTACTAGAAGTGATACGATGAGAAGTTCAGTTTTCTGCTCACTCCTGTTCCATAAAATCCCTTCCCAAAACAGGTATGATGGTGCACACCTGTAATCCCAACACTCGACAGGCTGAGGCAGAAGGGTTTCTGGAGTTCTGAGGCCAGCCCAGGCTACAAAGTGCGTTCATGGCCAGCTTGAACTGCACAGTGAAACCTTGTGTCAAAAGGACAAAAAAAAAACTCTTCCAAGAGCAGCTACTGACATTATCTTCTTACGTGTCTTTCCAGAGGTACACTAGACATGTATGTGAGTGGCTTGTATATGTGACATTAGCTTCTTAAAACACAAATATTAGCATACTTTACACACTGTTCTGCATCTTGTTTCAACTGAACAAATATTTCAGTTAGTGTGCTACCATTATATGTCTCATAATTTTAAAGGTGCCTATTTAATTTTATAAGTAAACACATTTATGCAATTGGTCACCATTTGGCAGGAGGGGTGCGGGTGGAACCCAAGGCTTTGCACTGATCTATATCCCTGATCTTTGTTTGTTTGTTTGTTTGTTTGTTTGTTTGTTTTTGAAACAGGGTCTCATTGAGGTGCCCAGGCTGGGCTTTCACTTATGAGTCTTATGCCTCAACTTCCCAAAGTGTTGCGCTTACACCCAATTAATTGGTTACCTATTAATGAGTGTTTGTTTCCAATTTTTTGCTATTACAAGTATTCCTGAAATAAATACATTTGGATATACCTCTCTGTGCATATATGAATGCATATCCAGATATGTGAGAAAAATAACCGGCAAGAAATATACGCATTAGTGATTTTGAGAGATGTGGCAAATTATCCTGGAGTAGAGTTACACCAGTTTATTTCTATTTCATTTTATAATGCATTTTCTTTCATATAGCAGAACCCATGCAATATTTAAGCTTGTGTATCTGAGTTACTTTGCTTAACAATATGGTCTCAAGGTGCATCCATTTTCCTACAAATAATTCAAATTTATCCCTTTAAAAATTTTTTTAATGAATGGCAGATAATAGGAAAAAAAGAGAAAGAAAAAAGGTATTATAAATCAGTGCAGACAATGTATCTACAAGTATATCTTGACTCAGTAAAATCATCTTACATGTTTTATATGTTATCTGACTTCACTGTCTGATTTTCATTAATTTCATATATAACTAAACTTACAAGGTCTTTACAGTTTGTTAGGCTGGTTCTTTCTATCTAGACCCCAAATCATATTTCCTACAGGGTAAATTAGGTTATACTACTAGAAGATAATCGTGATGCCTTACCAGAAACTAATTTCCTGGCTCACAGGACATGTCCAGGGCAGGTTGGCAGGAAAACACTTGCATTATTGTCACTTGGGGATGAAACTGACAGGGCTTCATCTTGGCAGGCACTTCCACAATTATAGCAGAAAGGAGGACATGCGGACAGCTTCTCACTGGCACTTGGTCTTTACATTTCTTCCTGTAAGTGGCAGGCATCATATCCACTCATATCACATTAGCCAGCTAAGCCAAAAGACTGTACCTTCATTGGAAAAGGAGAAATATAATAATCCTTCTTCACAGATCAAAAATACTGCCCAATGCCAGCCAACAGAAAGACAGGCTCCTAAAAAGCATCACAGTGGGTCCTCCCCCACCTTACTCACAGGTGCTGGCACCGTGGGACTTGCAGGTCTTCCCAAAGTGAAAGTGACCACAAAGAAAATGAAAGTGACCACAAAAGGTAAAAACCTTGAGCTGATTCCAGACATCGCAGCACCCTGGTGATGCAGCTACAGACAGGAAAGAAGACTTCCAAAACTGCCTTTAAAAATGGCAAGAATGATGGCATTTGTCTGGGGATTTAGCTCAGTGGCGTAATCACCTGCCTAGCAAGCACGAGGTTGAGAGTTTGAGCCCTGGTATCAAAACCAGACAAAAATAAGGGGCTGGGGATTTAGCTCAGCGGCATAAGCACCTGCCTTGTAAGCAGGCAGTCATGAGTTTGATCCCTGGTATCGATAACAAAAAAAAAAAAGAAAAACTAGATAAAAATGATGGCAGTTATGTGTTTGGAGTGGGGAGAGTATTTTGAGGTGGGTCATTGAAAATATGTCTTTTGCTGTAATAAATTTTTAAAGACTAATCACCAAATTGGTTGGTCACATGTTGTGTTAGCACAGTAACTATGTTTTTCTGCCCTTTCTTCCTTTTGCTTTTTTATCCACTTCTTCTTCCTTACGCTTCTTTTCCCTCAACTCTCTCAAGCTTCATCACTAAAAGTTGACTTTTAGTTGACTTTATGATACATCCTTCTACCCATTTCCTTTGCCGTCCAGGAGCCCTCTATTACTCTAATTACCAGGAAAAACAGCTTTGCAATTCACTAAAACTAGAGTTCTTTACTTTGAGTGAACAGCATCAGAAGTATAAATATGAACAGGTTGGAATTCCACTTTTAAGAAGCCCTGCAATTTTGGTGGTTGAATCCCACTGCTGACAGGACAGGGTTCGTCTTCACATCCTGGACCCACTGCATGAGGCAAAGGTGAGCATTCTTCCTGTCTGCACAGGATGCATACCCTGAGGACTCCTGGGGCTACTTTGCCCAATCCAAAGCTACGATGTAAGACATATTTACTGACACTGCACAAATGAACACCTTAGTGCCTGCATCACTAGCTCACTGGGCACACTTAGGTATCACCATCAGCCTAGGGCACTTAGTTAGGGCTCCAAGTAAGCTAATCAGGTTTGGCAGCAAAGTTCCTATTAAATATGTGCCACTATGCTAAAGGACCTGTTTGACCCATGGTTCAAAACCTCTCTATATAAATTTAGGATATAGTTTTTAAATTTTCATATTTACCTAAAGAAGGCCTATTGAAGTATTGTCTTTGGATACGTAGGGACTTCAGTGCTTCACAACCACAGTCATTCCAGTCCAGCAGGAAACAAAAGTCTATACCCCTGTTGGAGATTTCTAGTCTTTGACTACAGCGCAGTGTTATGGAATGATTATTTTAAACTTTTTAGGGGAAAGAAAAAAACAAATGAAAAGACAAGTAACTTAGAAGCCAGTCTTGGTTTTTCTGTAAATGCAAGATTTTGGAAAGGGAACTTCACTAAGATTTGGTCTCTACCATTGTGGAATGTGTTAGTTGAGCATCCCAACACCCTAGATTGAATACACGCATCAGTCTCATCTGAAATGGGCCACCGCTGTGCTAATACTGATGCATTTCAAAATGCGTTCAGTTAGCCAAAATGCACTCTGAAAAAATTTGAGGGCTAGGGATATGGCAAGGGCACAAGCACCTGGCAAGCACGAGGTCCTGAGTTTGATTCCCAGTACAAAAGAAAACAATGATAATAAGAAGAAGAAGCATTATTTTCATAACAAAAACCTTGATCGTCATTCACCTCTCCTGTCCTTCACTTACGCTCCTCACCCTGCAGAGTCTGTTTGGTGCTGACCGTGCACAGTAACCTGCCTTCCCCAAACAGGTTCTGGATTTTATAATCGCCTTCCCTGACCCTCCATTTGGGAGCCACCAGCCAAAATGTGAGCAAGAAACAACAACTGATGATTAGCTCCTGAGACTGATGCTAAGCCTTTCGAAGCAGCCGTGGGTGGCTGGGACTGCCTCAGCTACAAAACCACTTTTGTTCTGTTTGCACGTTTGACCTCGTGTGTCCCTGGCCCAGGTGTGAGAGCCCGTGTGCCGCAGCCTCTGTTCTTCCCAACTCCCTTCCGCACTCTCTGCGGGCCACGCGGCCTCCACCTCCCCAGTGAACTGCAGCCGCTTGTCAGCTTCCCTCCCCGGCCCTCCTCTCAGGTCCTAAACCACCGGCTCCTACCTGTACTTTTTTTTTTTTTTTAAACAAAAAGGACTTTTTAAAAAGAAATTTTACTGAAAGAAATCCCATTTTAAGTTTTTCTCATTTCTTTCATAAAACTATCAATCTTCTCCAGATTTTTCTGGAACAATAGTTACAGTTTTCCATCTGCTACTCCCATTTCAATAGACTCTTACGCTATATAGTTATGGCCTTTCATCGCGTGTATTTAAGACAGAAGACTCCACGCCCAAAGACACACATGTTCTCAGTGCTGGCCAGTTCCGGGCCAGCAGCTGTCAGCAGGAGGAGCAGGGCGCGGTGTGGGATCAGACTCTGTGTATTCACTTCTCCTGTAAATGTGGACTGAACAAAAGAAAAGGAAAAGGAAAGAAGGTAAAGAAGGAAAACTTTTGCTCCTTAGTAATACTTTCCACTTAAAAAAATAAAAACCAAAATATTAAGCCCACTAAAACTTACTGGGAACAGTTTTCTCAATCTCTATCTAAAGACATTCAATCAAAATGAGATTTAAAGAACCACAGATATCTGGCTGCTATTAAATGTTTTGTCGTTCACTCCCCGACTCTGGGTACAGAATGTGCTTCTCTGGTTCCTATCTCAGGCTTGCACAGGCTCTTTTAATTTATCTCCAGTTGTTAACTTGGAGCCCAAGCTATGCCAGGGAATCTTCACAGTTCTAGTTCCTTCCGAGCTGTTTTTCATTAAAGCCCTTACAAAGTTCTTTCATAGTGTCAAATCGTCTTTTTCTTTGGTTTGTTTTTATTAAAAAAGAGACCTGGCTAATTTAAAATTAGTTCTGAAGTGTGTTTCACTCCTCCATGTGGAATGCAATCGCAGTGCAGGACTACAGATGCCTGACTCACCTGCACAGCGCTTCCCAGCAGGGACTGAGCTCCGGACACCAACGCCCATCATGTTGGTGGGGTGCTGTGTGCTCAGGGCTTGTGCAGTGACCCTCAGGCCAGACAGCCTCCCTATGGGAAAGAGGGGTGGGCAGCCAAATGCCCCCTCCTTCTCCACAGTGCTGTGTGCCAAAGACCCCAGAGGGTGGATGCCTGATCCCCAGGCGGCCTGCATCCTATCTGCACTGTACTAGTACCTTTTTCCTATAGAGTTCATATGTACCTGCAACAGTTTCACCTACAAATGAGGCCGACAGTAAGAGACTAACAATAACTAATTATAAAACAGAACAATTACCACAGCATAGTATAATAGAAGAATTACGATGCAGTTCCTCCTTCAAAATATCTTGTTTTGTACTCATACTTTTAGACTGCAGTTGATCATGTGTAACAGAAACTCTGGGAAAGGAAAGCACAGATAAGGAAGAGTACCACAGTGCGCCTCCGTGGTTATTAACATGAAAGCTCATAATTGCTATTTCATAAGCACAAGCCAGTAATTTCCTTTTCTTTTGAAGTTATTTATAGCTAAAGCTTGCTCCTTTTCTCATTTAGACTGAGTAGGTCCTTATACACCACCACAAACAAAAGACTAAATATACCACTGGATTCTGAGTTTGGAATATAAAATAAGCTTTCCAAAACTTAAAAGTACACTAAGCCATGAATTAAAAGTTTCCAAGCAATGGTGTGATGAGCTCACCACCAAAAAAGACTTTCCTGGACTTTCCCCACTGCCTCTCAGTTTTACCTGGAAATACCGCTTCCTTTCTCCTGCCTTTTCCTCCTGTGAAGTGCACTAATCAGTGCGATCCTCCACCTCTGGCTGCCCAGAATCGCACTACAGCTAGAGATCAGTAAAGCTGAGGAACGTAAGAACTATGCCAGGCTGCATCCACTCTGCTTCTGCAGAGCTGGCTTGATGTGGGAAGAGCTAACACTGGCCACAAATAGTGCAAGGGGCAGCCTGTCTCATTCCAATGCTAACTGCAACTGAATGGCCTAATGCAGGTACCCAGCATTCACCTGAGCATTCAGCTAATTAAATAAAATAAAGCTAGGATAGTTGTTTTGTTCTGTCTTTAATACAGGGCCAGTTTATATGACACAACATATCATCAGAAGTTTAAAAGAAAAATATGTATGTATTAATAGGCTTGAAGACTTTATGAGTATCTGAAAGTAATTATTCATTGTTATATTATGATGACAAGAAACATTCACCTGCAAGGAAATTTGGAATACATTAGGAATTGTTCTACAGACACAATTCAGCACCAGTATGTTGAAAACCAAGTAACAGTAACAAATGACCCATTCTTTAACTGTAGCACCTGACAGAAGACCAGAATGTAAGAGGATAGACTTAAAACATACTGTACTTACACAAGGAATTCAAGTTGTAGACCTGATCCAGAAAGTAATTTCAGATAAATCAGACTGATCAACAAGTACCTATTCAAAGATTAATTCAAAAGAAACACAAGTTTAAAAAATCCTGAGGAGCTGCTTTTCAAGTGTGTGGAAACCAGAGTCTATGTAAGGTTTCTTTCAATGCAAAGAGGCTTCATCACCATGAGTCTTGGGCAACTGTGATACTGTTATTTCTCCTCCTAAAGCTTACAATTTGTGCTCTATAAAAACTTTTTTTAATCCAGCATTCAGCAAATATATCTAAACAGAGAAAGCTATTTCCATGTAAATTAATAAGACATACTTTGGGAAATACTAGCTTGTAACAGTGAGCATGCTTAACAAGACTTAACCCACAGAAGAAATTCTTATGGATAGCAACATGGATCCCTGTACTCTTAAGATAACAGAAATCCAGGAGCAGGAGTCACATGCTACAGTATAATCAACAAGTAGCAGAAAAATATAGATAATTTATATATCAAGCATTGCATCACGCATGTGTTCAAAACCCACTCACCCTACCAGCAGTCACTGGGACCTAACATCTGGGAATGAGTATGACTCTCTTCTCAGGGTCTTTACTGCATCCACTGAGTTAAAATTAGCCAAGAATCTCTCCCACCGCTTTTCCAATAGAACCGTTACCTTCACACCTGTCCACAGTCACATTTGCCGTCCTGGCTATGTAGATTGTCATTTTCAGCTCCCACTATCTGCATAATGACATGTCTTGGAAAAGTTGTTGGTTGTCTAACTCACTATCACGGTGCTGATTTCCTTAAATTTTATTTGTGAAAATTTAGAGTCATGGTTCTTGACCATGTGCCGCTGTGCCCTGGGATGCTGTAGTAATTGCTCAGACAATTTAAATACTTGAGAAAAATATGATATATGTTGTATTTTAGATATAGCATGAACTCCCACCTCAAGACAGTTCATAGTTTCAAACTCCGATCACACGATAATTGTCACATCTTTGCAAAGCGAGGCTTTGAGTGGTTGCTGATTCTCGTGAAAATCAGTGTGGAGCAGGAAGTGAAGGAGATTACACCTGATCCCAAAGTTTGGAAGTCAGCACTTCCAACCAGATACATGCAGCCCATCATCAAGTAACAGTCATTACATTAAGAGTGAAATAATTTTCCCGGTGGAGGTATATTACTCCATCATAGAGTTACTATACTGTTCAGTATAGGCAGGTAAGTTGTTTGAACCTAACTAATAAACAGAACAGTTAGGTGTGATTTGGCCCTCGTGCGTCATGGGGAAGGTACTAAAACACTCAGAACATGGTCATCTAATAAAATTTGCTTAGAGATTTACAGGAAGGAAAGTAAGAGAGTCATGCTTGCACAAATTTAAACTCCTTTTTTGTTTGAAAAAAAAAACATCGTAACAATATTGAGCACTTAACAACTGAATGGTACATACCAAAAGATAACTCTCTACTATTATTCTGAAACCAGAGAAGGAAGGAAGGCAAAGGGAGGGAGGTCACCGTCGTGATAGCTATAGCCCTGGTTGGTGCTCACTGTGTCTTTGACTGAACCTTTGAACCTCTGACTGAACCTTTGACTCACTGAACCTTTGACTCCTTGGCTCACTCCAGGTCACAGCTATGTACCACTTAGGCTGCTGGAACAAAGGTCGCAGAGAGTGAATAAAATCTCATCACTAAGCCCTCCTCCTCCCTGGAGAAAATCTGCCTGTATTTGTGGAAGCATGTCCCGGAGCCAAGCACTGGGCACCAAAGCACTCGTAAATTATTTCTTCCACTGTTTCTATTTTTCTCCTTTGTCCAGCACTTAGAAATCAGAGCATAGCTGCATAGCTTGCTATTCTCTATTTTCTCAGAGTTAAAGAATTCAAATAACCTAAGAAGAACAGAAATGAGCTGAAAATTACTGAGTTTAGTACATTAAAAGCCATTCTGCAAATTCTCCTGAGGAACAAAGATCTTCAAAGCTCTGCTGAAGTCACCAGAGGGCAAGGACTGTAAATGTCATTACCACGTGCCTGTGGTCCAGTCACCTTCTTGCTTTTGTTCTCCAGCCTGTTGGTTTTCCTCTTGTAACCAACAAGTCATCTCCAACCAAAAGGCAGTTCTAGGCTTCTCTCGCTCATTGTGCAAATCAGTTATATGAAACTTTCAGTTCAAGTTATCTAATCATGATTTCCACACATATCCAAAATCATCACACTGAATCCCACACTATTTTCAGAGAAATTACTAAGGAATTTACATCATTTTATAATCCAGTCCCTTGATTCTTTAGGTGGAACACATTGAGGAACACATTGAATGATACACCCAGGATCACACAGATTAGATAGCTTTGGAAAAATCTAAGAATAGATGTTTTCTTGTTACAGAATACCTTTGTAAAAGTCTCTAAAACGAGCACAAATGTGTCCTGAAGTTCAGTATGATGCTCAGCTCATCACCCACTATTGATACAGTACAAGTCTCTCTCCTCTGAGTGTTCAGGGCCTCTTCACCCTTCACGGGATTCACATGTAGGCTCAAGCATCTGAAGAGCAGATGCATGGGTCACAGGATGAGTGAGTACCTTTCCTGGAAAGAAGCTTGCTCTCCACCCCAGCTGCCACTACCCAACCGCATCTTCCAGCGCTGTAGGTACGCAGGAGCCTGGGTGCGGTCCCACAGCACACGTGTGGGCAGCGCGCCCTCTGGTGAGGACTGGCGGATATGCAGGTCCAGATTCAAGACCCGCAAAGATCCGAGGTATTGAAACACAGCACCTCTACTCTTGATGACCTTTCCATGTTTCCATAATCGAAATCTTTCCATAAAAAAAAATGTTTACAAAACTTCTCATGATACACTTTCCCAGAAGAATCAAGCCTCCGTTTCTCTCAGAGCCGTCTTGCTAGGAAGTGTGACCCAAGGCCTTTCTCTTCCCAGGACTCATAGTCTCACATTCACTAAACAGACCCGTTAGATGTTGAGAAAATTCTTCTTCATCACGTTTATTGGTGACATTTTTCAATGTCAGTTCCTTTTTCTGTAGTATATGCAACGTGCTAGAAAAGTGTGGACGCAGCAAGCACCCAACAAGTGCGAGGTATCATTCCTTCTCCTTGTAACAGGTCATAAGAGCTCATTGCGCCAATAAACTGAGTCTCCCAAGAGCCAATCATATTATGTGAGAGTAGCTGATCGCTTACCTGACACTCAGATGATGAACAAAGGTAACGTAACGAATGACTTGCCCACTCCGAGAACCACACGTGGTCCTAAGTGCTTTATTCTGTGTGTACTAATTCATCTGATTCCTGTATCTGTCAGACACCTCTGTAACTTTTATTCATCTAGGGGAGGACAAGAAGGAGAAGGGGAGGAAAAGTAATTGAGATGTGATATGTCTAATTCCCAGGATTAATCTAATTAGTATGTGTTAGAAATACCAATAAAAAAGGAAGAATTAAAGAACATTCCCAAGGCCACACAGCTACTTAGCATGGAGCTGAGATTTGACCCTGTACTGTCTCTCTCTGGCACTGAGGCCTTTAGTTTTCACACTAAACAAATTTTCCAAAATCTCCTTTCCTGACAGCAGTAAGAACTTTTATTTTGACCCTCATAGTGAAGCAAACACTACAGGGAACAATAAAATGATATAATACTGATTTTAAAAGTGTTCCTATTAATCCTACACATTAATTATATGAGGGACTTCAAAGTACTATAGCATACAAAATATACAATTCTGCTTTATTATAATTTTGAATATAAGCATTTATTTATAATAAATATTAATTCAACAGTTGATTAGCAATCATTTTTCTGGCTTCCTTAGAATCCATACAGTATTATACCATCTATATTTTTATAAGGTTTTAACTGCATATTTATTATTAAAATCATTTTTATTTCTATATAAAATAAATTATTATATGAGATTTGATCCAAACTCTTTAATATTTCATCCTTTCTTAAAAGAAAAGTTAGATGTGAAATCATTTCCCAGTGTATACTTATTAGAGAAAATTTCATGCATAAAATAATAAATTCTGGCATCTAAGGTCATCACTTTGAGAAAAATATTGATTGCATCTGTATATGCTTAACATCTGAAACAATAAGGTTTTAAAACCTATTCATTTTACTCTTCTACAATCTGATTATCCAAAGTTTTAAAAATATTTAATTATACATTTCTTCATTCATGACACCTAATTCTATTAAAGATACATGCACTGCACAAATGTCTGTCAGTTCAGATAGGCACAGGCTGCCTCCTACCCACAATCACCTCGGCAAGTTGCCAAAACAAGGCCTATCAAAGGGCTCCGAATCCCAAGAAATAATGCCAACAGACGTGGGATCTCGCATCTCGGTTCCCCTGGTGCTGCAGATCCTCAGCAGGTACAGTAGAGGCAGCGGATCCTGCTCTGTAGGTGTCTCTGCTCCAGAATGCCCTCAGCCCCATCTGTGTGTCACCAGCATTACTCACGCCCCATGACAGAAGCCTGCAGGGACCCTTCACCTTGCTACTGTGGGCACACAGCCAAGCACACCAGAACCCACAGGTCT